GGAGGAAATCACGTGTCTGGGATTGAGAATTGCTTCTTGTGACCTCCCTTGATACTCCAATGATGTAATTTTTATCGAAATAATCAAGAATATCCTTTCCATTGCTCGGAGTAACCGATCTCAGGAATGCAATTGCATTGCCCTTATCACATAAAGGAACAAATGCTAAGCCGTCCATCACGCCACAAAAAAAATCTTAAGGCTTCCTCTGTTCTATATTGGTTTTCCAGACCTAGCTTTTGAATTTTTCTATGGGTATTTGACACAAAGGGTAAAAGTATTCTCTGATTACGATGTGATCCCCTAATAAATATAAATATTTTAACAATAATCTTACCAATGACAGTTTTAACCGCGCTCATAACAGAAATTTCAAAATCTATTTATATATAATGGACCAGGAAATAAATCCCGTTCTTGACATTTAGACTATTACTTCCAATATTTTTTCGTAAGTATTTTGTGTTTTTTTTTGGAGTGTAATAGCTGTTAATGATTCTGGCATTATTAATATTAATTATTGCTAGGTTATACTAAAAAATTAAGTGAAAATTGAGAAGAAAAAAATTGAGAAAAGATCAGAAAAAATAAAGATTAACAATGACTTAAAGCAAAAATGGGAAGAAAAATATAAATTGAGAAGAAAAAAAATTGACAAGAAAATTTTTTTAAAAAATAACGATTTTCTTTTTTTTTTTGATTTTTTTTTCCGTGGGGTTTTTTTTCCATGGGGTTTTTCCAAGGGGTTTTTCCGGGGTAATTTCCATGGGGTCTTTATTCCATGGGTTTTTTTTCGGGGTTTTTTTTCCGGGGTTTTTTTTTCCTTTTACCAAATTTAAATTAAAAAAAAAAATGTTATAGAAAAATAGATTAAAACACAAATATTTTCTTAAGAATTAGCATATACATAAATTTATATAAAAATTCACGAAATGATATATTAAAAAATGGGGGAAAAAAAATATGAGAAGCATATTATAATTTTATAATGTAGAATTTAATAGGTTTAACATTCTATTTTCAGAGGTAGCATTTCTCGGCAATGTTGTAAAACGATTTGATTTAAGCCGATTTTTAAAAAATGGCTAATTCAATATATCATCCAGAAAAAATATTACGCAAGCCTGAAAATTTTTTCTCATAGATGACACGTAGTTTTAGACATATATTAGCGAAATCTAGAGGCTTAGGTAATAATTTTATGGTTAAATAATATTGAGTTAGCCGTTTATTAAAATCGGCTCACATGGAGCCAGTTAACAACACTATTTATATGCTTTCATTTTTGTAAATGGATAAAAATGTTTATTCATTGATTGAAAAATAAATAAATAAATCCAAAAATATATAAAAATTTTAATATATTAGGAAAATAATCTTTAAATGTGTCTGAAACTATACGAAGATCAAACCCTATTTAAACTTTTATAATAGTTTGGTAATGCATCATGGGATACTTTAACATCCTCACAATAATAATCTGCCAATGATTTAGTTTTTTTTTCTCTGACAAGATTGAAAAATAAATTCAGAAGTATTCTGCGATAATAATATTTTTTAGATTTGTAAAGGGTTGCCTCTGTTTAATGAAAATCCTTCATTCATTTTAGAAAAGTATCCAAATGGGGGATAAAGAGATTTATCCTATAGTATTCTGTGACTGACCCTGTATTAATGATGGAATGGTAGACATGCTTTCCTTACGAATCCACTTAGACAAATATTAAATTTATCGAGCTCTTTTGACTCAACAATGACATATATTTTCATAGTCTCAATCAAATCGATGTCATTTATTGAAATATTTTTTTAGTTTTGCAGTGAAAGTTTTAAATGATTCGTGAAATTTTATAATGGTAGATAAATATAACGCCAAGGAAAATGTGAAATTAAATCATAGAATAAATTAGTAGCGTATTTTTTTTTCTGCTGTGAATGTGATAAATAAATGTAAATTGTAGGAATCAATAATATTTAAATATATTTTAGCCACATCTACATTTTTTTGGCTTTGGGTGAGGGGATGATTCCCGCCACTGTGTTTTGCTAAGAGTAAATTGTTTATGCTTGGAAATTCTGTCCACAAATGGCAAAGACGCTTGTACATTTATTGGTGAAAATTTTGAAATTTTTAGTAAATAATATTGTGGCCAAGATCTTGAAACCGTTTTAATAAATCGACTAAATCTAGTCGTTTTACAAATTACCTAATTTTTTAAGATATGAATTCCAAGTATGCCCTCATTTTTAAAGGGTTATAAAATTTACAGGAAACCCATTGGTTTAAATTGGACAAATTTCCGTTTTGAATTTTAAATTATTTATTAAAAAAACAAAAAATCCTGCATTTTTTGAAACGTTTTTAAATTTTGAAGTGACAGAACGGATAAAACTTTTTCTAAAAAGTAAGAATAATTACAATAATATTAAACGATACAAAAATATTTTTAGCACATGGAATGATGATATTACAAAATGATTTGCTAAAATGATTGAACCAGACGAGATAATATGGAACCAAGAACATGCTGACCATAAAAAAACATTCATTGCTATGGAACATTTATCTGTTATTGATTCCAGTATAAATATATAAAAATATTAGCTTAGCCTTGGAACTCTCTGGTTTTTATACCAGAGCTTTATATATAAGGAAAAGATTAAAAATTTTATCAGTTAAATAAGGAGAAACTAAGGGCCTTCGGGCTCCCAAGGTGGCAAGGATGTATACAAATGGAATTATATATTTTATGCAACTGACTGTTCTTGCAATTTAGATGGTGCTTGGCTTATTTAAAACCTGGAAAAGTCCTGAGAGCAGACAGATCAAGTGACCATTCTATTATTTATATTGCTATATCTAAATACTCCACCATCACCCTGCATATGCTCTCACATCTATAAAAATACATGTTTTGTTGATATCTGTTAAGGCTAACAGGTTATTTGAAAACCTATACTTCTTTTAAGATAAATGTAGATATCTTTGCACCTCTTCCTTTCTTTATTTCTGTTAAGTAAATATAGGGCATTCATATTTTTTTTGTTTTAAATTTAGTCGTTTCATATTGAAAAAAATAATAATTAACGCTTCAATTTAAACATATCTGCGTTTTGCGTTTTGAAACGCGGCTTTGAGATGTTCAATTTGTGAGTACTATTAAGCGACAAATATCCGCTTTATCGGTGGAAGAAAAAAAACCCCAGAATATCACGCAAGATTGAGAACATAGGGTGCTTTATCATTATACTAAATGGAAATTGAGCTAAAGCAATTTTTTCTCTATTTTAAAAAACACAATATGAAAATTTAATGAAAAGAAAATGATTTATTCTATATGCCCTGATGGTCAATTAAAAAGCCATCAAATTCTTCTTCAAAAATCATATATCAATTTTTAATATAATTAAAAGTATATTATAATTTCTAAAATTCTTTCAAATTAAAATTTTTGCCAAAATATGATTTTTTTACATATATTTTTCCCCGTTTATATTTATTCATCTTTAATTAATGATTTGTTAAAAACAGGATTTCATAAAAAAAAACATACTATTCATATGAAATCAATCCCACTCAAGTTTGTTAAATTTGTTAGGTCACAATTTTTCAAATAAATTTAAAATATGGAACTTATTTTCACCTTACAAGTTAGTGAGGAAAAAATTAAAAGTTGTTGAAAGCTTCTTTAAAAGTAATTGATTTTTTTTTTTTGGGGGGGGGGGGGGTAAATCTTATGTTTATATTATACAGGAATTCAAAAATGAAATATAATTAGGTTATTTTAAAGCTACCCAGCAAATTTAAAATTTGTTCAAATTGTATTTTTATAAAAATATAAATGAAATTAAGCTCGAAAATCAACAATTCAACTAAAAAAAATTGATAAATTTGACAATACAATTATGGAAATTTGATTTCCAGATTGTATTTATTTTTTAAAATAATTTTCCCCCAAAATTTTCGAAAAATGTTTTTCGTAGAAAAATAGAAAACTCCTGTGCAATTAAATAAATATAATTAATTTCTAACTTGAAAACTCTAGAATATCATTTTTCGAAAAAAATGTTATATTTATGTGACATTCATTTACTTGGTTTTTGTTAATATTTTTCTTCTCTTCTCTTCTCTTCTCTTCTCTCTTCTCTTCTCTTCTCTTCTTCTTCTTCTTCTCTTCTCTTCTCTTCTCTTCTCTTCTCTTCTCTTCTCTTCTCTTCTCTTCTCTTCTCTTCTCTTCTCTTCTCTTCTCTTCTCTTCTCATCTCATCTCATCTCTTCTCTCAAAATATTTTGAGATAAAATTACTTAATGAATCAAAATTCTACTATATTAATAAAAATTAAACATTTCAAAAAAGAAAATTGATAAACCAGTTGTTCCACAGATTTTGTATGAGAAAGATTTAATGGCCATTTCCTAAAAAAAATGTTATAAATTTTATTTGTTATCTAATGAGCATAGAAGGTCAAATATTTAAGTCAAGCAAGGCCAGGTTCGAAAAATTTTATTTACTTCTAAGCCCGACAAGGTAAAGATCAGATTTCTCTTTAAAAAAAACAAATTTGATTTATGGTTCTAAGAGCAATGATTTTTTTTAATATCCCTGTCTTTTCAGCTGAGACTGAACTAATGAAGAGGCTGGCTGCTAGCAGCCATATGGCTGCTCCTAATCCCATCTCTTCATTAGTTCATTCCAGAACCCGCGATGTTAGGATTACTCCTGCACATACTAGGGTTCTGGAATGAACTAATGAAGACATCCCGTTCTTTAGGAATCTATTAATATTGGTTCGACTTCAGAGCCTGAGCCCACCTCTTACTTTTAAACATTTTTATCATTTTTAATGTCAAATCATTTTGGTGACATGATCCAGGATGTAAAATCTGAAGTAGAATATAATTCAAAGTTTATTATAAAAATAACCATAAGTTTTTTTTTAAAAAAATTATTTATTTTTAATTACGAAAAACATAAAAAAAATTTTGTTTCAAAATAAAAATTAAAAAATTAAAAAATTTTGTTAAAAAATTAAAAAATTTTGTTTCAAAATAAAATAATTTTTTTTTTTTTATTAATTTAAGATAAGAATTTATTTTAATCTTTCAAATTCATTTATTAATATAAAGTGAGAAAATATTCTAAGATTTCATCTAAGGTAAAAATAATTAAATAAATAAGTAATTTATGTCACATCGGTCCTAAACCTCTTGACTTTTTCTAAAGTAATAACGGAAATTGAATATTTTATTTAAATTTAAAATGCTTGCATACTTTTAATAATGTGTAATGTTATATTCATATGCGATGGGGGGCAAAGGGAATGTCTAACAATTTCAGAAACGTGGACGAAATACCCTCGAGGAATAATGGCAGGATTGACAGAAATCGGACTTCGAATCGCCACGACTCTGGAAATTTTCCTTCGTTTTCAAATAATCTTGATGACGTAGATAGAACATTTAGAAGTTTTACATGTTTCTTAAAATCCTATTGAACAATAAAATTTAGGAATATCAAATGATAACCCATTTTTCTTTTTCATATAATAAAAATGACCAAAATAAAATCTTATAAAGTGGGTTTTACTAAAATTTAAAGTTTATGCTTAAGTTTTTTTTTTATTCTTTCGAATTAGGCATTTTTCAACCGGCATCTATTGGTTTACTATAGGAATGAAATAACCTTTTAAAATGTTGTTAATTTAAAACTAACCATAAAAGGTGCCAATATTATGAGTACACTTATCTCAAACAATTTTAATTTTAAAATAATTATTATTCAAAACTCTTTTAGATTAAGTATCTAATTAGATATCAAAATAGGAAATAGACAAAAATGCATATATAATCTAAAATCTGTCTCATTTTTTTCCTATTTTTTCTTGTTTTATTTTGTGCCTTTTTATCGGACCGAGCGGTTAAAGAATTTTGAACTATGAGCGAGTGAGCTATTTTTGTTTTATAATTATTTAGGATGTGTTCCAAAATATCAAAAAAATAAATTCACAAACTTTTGAAACTTCGAAAATATAAATAAAAATAAGCTATTTTAAAATGTAAAACTATAAAAAAACATGTCCATAATTGTAGAAAATTTCATAAACTTAGTTCTCTATAAAACTATTTTGTTTTAGGAATCATATTGATCATTTTCTATTTTTTTAAGTATTAAGTTTATAAAAAAAAAATGTTAGATAATTTTTGGTTAAATTTTCATCTGTCTTAGAGATAAAATGTTTACATAAGATTCCAAGAATTTTATAAGCCTGAGAGTTCTTGAGACACTGGGATTTTCTTTTCTAGATTACTAAACTCCTAATGGTTAGTTTTACTTTGCAAAAAAAACTATATTCAATATATGCGGCTTGTAATTTCTTTTTTTTTAAAAAAAAAAAATATTAGGATCACTTATGGAATTTATTATTTTTCCAAAAATATATAATTTTAGGGTTTTGTCGAATATCTAATAAACCTAGTGTCGAAGCCATTAGTTATAAAGATTGGTTTTCATGATAATATCAAAATTTTAAAACGACTTAATTCCATTCTGGTTATCTTAACGAATTTGTATCCATTTCTCCCAGTTTATAAATCTGTATAAGTTCTTTTCGGTTCGTTCCACTTATTTTAGAAATAAGATTTTGGATGTTTGACATCTTATTAATCGAATTAAATTGTTTTTTTAAATTTTAAAATATTAAAATAAAAACCAATTGTTTTTTTTATATTAAATATAATATTTAAAATATATAATCTAAAATATTATTATTATAAAACATGCATAAAGAAATAAATGGTAAGGTGATAGTTTAGTGGGTGTTGTTTTTTTTATTTCAATTTAAGATCAATTATTGAGCGAGTTTTATTAAAAATTATCGGAACATATTCGAATAATATTTAAGTTTCAAATATTCTTAAGAATATTATTTAAAATGTCTTTAAATTTTCTTTATAAATTATTAGAAATTGATATATATAGAATTTTTTTATTTTTAATATACTAATTTTTACATAAATATATCTTTTATAAAATAGAAATTTTACATGCAAAAATTATAATTTTAGCCCCCGTGTCATAACAGCCACCCTCTTGCATAGGTAAAACCTTCATCACGGTATAGCTCATCCTTACCCCGTCCCTTCCCCCAATATCTTCCATTATAATTTGATATTGTGGTAAAAGTAAATATGAGCAGGTAACTTTGATTTTATTGTCGTTATCTTTTTTACTTGTTTTAATTTTTACTTAAAATATTGTTTTCTTTACACTTAAGATATTAACTTTGCGGGAAGATTGGTAAAACAGGGATGAGCTTATTTGAATCCAGAAAATAAAGTTTGAAACAAAAAATATTTTAAGATTTTTTGAAGAAAATTTTGCCTAGAATTTTGAGAAAAAAAATTCAAAAATATTTGATGTAAAATATTCTTATGAATTTTTTAAAATTTTTTTAGAAGAAATTGTTTTATTTTGAAGCCCATTTCCAACTCTTTTTGATTCATAAAAAAATATTATGTTATATTTATCTTATTATTCTAATTTATCATAACTATGTTCATTGCTATTTGCTTTGAGATTGAATATATCCATTGTATATCGGCACTTTAATTATTATTTTTTTTATTATCCTTATCCCAAAACGATAAAACTTTTCTGCAAATATGATTAACTTTATATTCCTTAAGGAATGTTAAAAAAAGGAACGTAAACAAACGGGTGAATAAAGGGCGGGACAACTTTTTTAACCAATGAAAGGGTGGGTATAAGTGGTAAAAATTATTACTTCTATCTATAACATTGATTGATAATATATATTCGCATTTATTATATTTACCTTTCACGTTTCCTCAACGGCTTATTCAGATTTATTTAAATATTCAACATTTTCTGTCTAATCTTCCCTTTAAGAAGGTTCCCTCATGCTTGGATATTCCTACATAAAACATCATTTTCCTCAAATATGGTATTACTACGTGGTATCTAGGTCCAAAATATTTTTCAAATAATTCAAAAAATTTAAGAAACTTTCAAAAATTTTAAAATTTTAATAAAATGGTAGGTTAAATTTTCGAAATTTTCATAAGTTTGTGAATCGAATTTTTGATATTTATTTTCAACAGTCATACATAAATCGTCGAATGTTCCATAGTCAAGTTAGTGACCATTTGATTAATTTATTATAAACAGGTTTGGTGCAGTATATCGGTCATTACTGGTTTTTTTTCAATTTAAATATTTAATAACTTGTTTATTCAAAAAAAAATTTGTTTAAAACCTTTTAAGCCTTTTTTAATATAAATAAGACATAAAAATAAAAAAAATATTAAAAAAAAAATTATTATTTTTATAAAATATATTTTTATTTAAAAAAAACAAAATAATATTATTTGGGTAAAATTGATTGATTATTGGATTTATTCGCGCAGATTAAATTAGAGATAAATTGAATGACGTCACATAATATCTCCAATAACTATGGATTGTTGGGTAAGTTTATTATTGTTCATTAATTGATGAATTTTCAATAGTAAAACATTTTCTTATAAGAGTAGGTTTTTTGTAAACTTTTAACTTTGGAAAATAAAATTTTTTAAATAAAATTTCTCTATTTATGGAAATAACTCGTATCTTTTCTATTTAAAAAAAATATTGAGGAAAAAAGTAAATATTGGAAAATAAAATTCACATTTTGAGTTTGTATAAGTAACAAAAAAAAATAAAGGATAATTTATAATTAAATAAAATACTTTAAATATCTTGTATAAGAGTGGCAGAGATTGATTATCAATCAATGTATATTCCATTCGGTAAGAGTAAAAATTACTAATAAAGCATTTATATTTTATCAGTTCTAATCTGAGTTAGGAGAATAATCTAAAAAAAAAATCAGAATATAATTTTTAATATGAGTCAAATAATGAAAGCAGGTCATTTTATCAGCCTATTTCTACGCTATGAAGTATAAAATGTAAAACCAAAAACATAACCCTTTTTAATAAAATTAATTTAATTTTAATTTAAAAATAAAAAAAGATTCATTTTAAAAATTATTTCCATTTTTTAAAGCCAGGTAAGCTAAAATACAAATTATATCTTAAAATACAAATTTTTTTTTTTCAAATGAGAAAATTCGTAAAATATTTTCACGATTGTTTTGTATGGAGCGAGACGGGTTAATGTTTTATTTATCATATATTTTTTTTACATATTTAAGTACATTTCCTTTTTAATTTAGTTATTTATATCAGAAACTCAGCTGTTTATATATATATAATCCCTTTTAATAATTGTTCTCAGATTTTATTAGTGTTCTAACATAATGAGCAACATAATAAAATATCTCAAATGAAAAACTTAAGCTAAAATGGAAATTAAAATAAAAATTATTTCATATAAAATTTATACTTTTTTAAAAAAAAAAATAATAAAGGAGATTTCAGATGGCCTAATGATATAGCCCATGATAATGCTAATGCGAATAGAAGGGCAGACTTCAATCCAAACAAACCGGAAGTAAATAATGCTGCAAGAGATTTTGATGCAAATCGTACCCCGCCACAAGGAATAAATGATGTGAAAATGAAAAAAATATATATAAAAATTGATGGACAAATAATACAAATCAATTCAATATGAACTTTATTTACAGATAACCAACGTAGACCTATCAGTGAAAACTAACACTGATTTGCACAGAACTTCCAAATACGATATAGTTAGGAGAGAAGAAGTATTGGTAGTTAGGCGGGGACAATCATTCACGATTCAAATTTCTTTCAAGGAGAATTTCGACCCCAAACTGCACGAGATCAAATTCGTCTTCGATCTAGGTATGATTTATTTTTTTGATTTTCACATGTTATTTGGCATATAAACAATGTCGATGAAATTATTTAGTTTCTAATTTTTATGTTGCGCAATAATACCCGAAACCTGAGAGCATTTTTTTTTATTTTAAATATTTAATATTTTTATAACTTGAAACTAATTGTTATTATTAAATGTCTCGCCTAATATTTTAATCAGAAAAATATTATGTAAGCCTGAAGATTTTACACATAGATAGCCCAAAGGTTTTAACATTATATTAATAAAATCTAGACTCTTAGTTTAAAAATCGTCAAATCGCGCCGTTTTATAAATCTATTAAATCCCTTTAGTAATTTTATCCATGAGTTAGCCTATCAGCCTATTTACTATTTAATAAATGTATTTTTTTTCATGTTATTCATTATTTCCACATTTTCTATAATATTTAGTTATTATTTTAAAATATTATAAAACTTGTATGATGAATCCCCACCCCTTCTTAATTATAACCCATTTCATTTTTCTCCCGACAAAATTCAACCTCTATAATTGAGAAATTTATGGTTATAGATTTGTAGAGTAGTTAAATATATGCTTATTTCCAAATTGAAGAGTCTAGACTGCAACCTAAAGTCCATATTTTATTCTATTTATTAGACTTAGAATTGGATAATTGGGTTATAATAATAAGACTCCAAATATAAATTAAAATTATGAAAATTCGATAATTAAATTATATTATATTTTGATTAATTAATATAATATAGTTATGAATTTATTACTATTTTTTTTAACGTATATTTCCTACTTATTTTTTATTCACATTCTAACCAATATGATATAAATTTATTTTCCTCTAAAGGGCCAAGTGCCAACGTAATCAATGGAACAAAACAGGTGATTGAGGTAGAAGATGAGACGTTACCCGTAAAGGTTACTATAAAAAAAAATGATAAAACATTTTGATATATGTATATTATAATGTCGTTGTAAAATATATTAATGTAACTTTATTTGAAAATATCACTTCCGTTCCAAATATTAAAATTAAGGATAATCTTAGTGTTTTCATTTAAATTCAAATCTACAGAGCAATAATGCTAAAAATATGCGTTAATAGTTTATTTAATAAGAATTCTTACCTACTGATTCATTTCTAAAACTCGTAAAATTTTTAAATGCACAATTTGTGCTATTGTTTTAAATTATAATGAACTTGGAACTAAGTTAGGTCTAAACAATTCAGCAATGAATATTTTTTTAGAAATTTATTTTTGTGATTTTTGTTTAATAATACGATTACCCTCAGAATTTGGCTAAAAGTTTTATTTTCTTTCTTTCTTTCTTTCTTTCTTAAAATTTTATATTTTTATTTTTATAAAACTTATCTATAAAAGCATTGGGGATGCCGAAAAAAAGCTATCCAAGGAAACCGGGTTTGGGTGGAGTGTTTGGCAGCCCCAAATACTGCAATAGGCATGTGGAGACTTTCGATCGTGTCTGCATCTGTAGCCGATGCTACCAATTTTGATAGGAGAGAAATAGTTTTTAAAATAAAGAAACCTATCTTCATTCTGTTCAATCCTTGGTGCAAAGGTAACAAAAATTAAATAAATGAATTTATAAATCTTTTAAAACTTTTTGATATTATACATTTCTGATAGCGGATTCGGTGTTTTTTGACGATGATGAATGGCGTAAGGAATGCGTGATGAGAGATGTGGGCAAAATTTGGATGGGAACATCGAAAGACATTCACTCACGTATGTGGAGTTATGGACAGGTAGATTCTAACTTTTCCAGTTCATTGAACAGCTAATGTTATTGGCCGTTTATTCATTTTATTATTTTTATTATGACATTAATTTAGTTATGAAAAAAGTAAATAAAGTTTGGTTGGAATAGAATATCTGTAAATAAAATTTTCATTCGATTTAGTACGAAGAGAATGTATTAAGCTGCGCTTTTTTGGCTCTCGATATGACTAAAATGCCTCAGCAACGCAGAAATAATCCAATAGAAGTGTGCAGAGCTATATCAGCGATAGTAATAATTATTTAAATTACACATCCTATTAAATATGATTTTTTTTAAACGTTAGGTTTTATTTTTGACACTATACTTTAAATTTAAAATTTTTTTATATATATTTAGCGATATTACTTCCCCGTAAGTTGTGAAATGGAACTAAGATTTAGGGTTTTTTTTTAATTGTAATACATAATTATTAATTTTTAGAAAATGAAGTTACAAAAAAAAGTATAAAAAACACCATTGAATAAAATTTTCGTTTTTTACATAGCATCATTTTAAAATGTTGATAATCATAATAATTTATATTTTGAGAGCTCTTTTCATGCTATTGAAAAATTTTAATTAATTTTCTAAGACATCTCGATAACATCATCATGTGATCCAATGATTGGAAACATATTGATATACAGTAAAAGTTGACTTAAACGTCATCCATATTTGTATAATATATTGATATTTTTATTTTGTATAATAATTATTTTCCTCAGGTGAATTCTTTAGACGATAGGGGTATTCTGGAAGGCAATTGGTCTGGAAGTTATAAAAAAGGGGTCAATCCCACTGATTGGCAAGGTTCGACACAAATAATGCAAAAATACTACAAGACTAGGAATTCGGTCAAATATGGTCAGTGTTGGGTCTTCGCCGGAGTGACCACCACAAGTTTATTTTTTATTGTTTAAGAAGGGAAAGCTGGAGAAAGAAGATACGATAAAGGATAGGATATAACAAATAATATAATCTCTGTTAAAAAAATATGTGCATTAAAGTTCTAAGAGCCCTTGGAATACCATGTAGAACCATCACCAATTTTAATAGTGCCCACGATACAAATTTGAACCTTTCCGTTGATGAAATTTACAATGAAAAGATGGAGATTCGGGAAGAAATTAGCACTGATTCTATATGGTAATTTATGTGTTTCTTTTTCAAAACCATATTTATAATCTTAAAATATTTTATGAGAATGTGAGAATAATAAATTTTTTTTAAAAGAAAAAATTTAAAACCATAATATTTTACTGCAAAATAGGAATAACTATAATTGTATTATATTGTGGTAGACTATTTTCTTTTAACCTATTTGTTTACAAATTTTTCTCTTCTCCTTCCTCAAAAATTATAAAAAATATTTAATTGATGTTTATTGATACATAGGCGAGCACGGTCATGTTAGGGGAAAGAGGGAGATGGGGGTATTTCCATAAATTTTACTGGAGACTTTTATATTAACTCATTGTATTGACTATGTTGCATTTTTTATAAAATAATTTTTTTTTTCACTTTTATTTACTGAAAATATTTTAAATGATTTTTTATAGTGATAAATTGTATAATTTTTTTCAGATGAGGATTCGCGCTTTCATTAGCCTAAGATAAAATTTATAACAAGTAAATTCCCTGAAAGAGTAATATATATAAATCGCAGTCAGGTTGGGATTTGTACGCGGTAGCCTTGGCTAATTAAATATGTCGTTCTAATATTTAAAAATTTCTATAAACAAAGTTTGGATAATAATTTATATAATCATAAATATCACAAAACAAATCAAAACATACATCACCCCCCCCCCCAACCCCTCCCCTTTCTGTATTGATAAATAGTTAACCAGGTAACCTGATTGAGAAAGCAAATTAATTAGTTTCAAAAATGGTGTATAATATATTATTACACAAAATTTAGGAATTTTCATGTTTGGAATGAATGCTGGATGACAAGACCAGACCTGCCTTCTGGTTATGGAGGTTGGCAATTGTTGGATTCTACCCCTCAAGAGAAAAGCGAAAGTAATATTTACCTTGTGTGGATAAATAACATCTTTTTTATAAAAGCATTTTAAAAAAATAATTAAAATTAAGGTACGAATCATAGAAAATATGAATAAAATATTTTACCATGTTAATAAGTTATGATTACCATTATAAAGACATACATAGATGTGGCCCAGTGTCTATAAAAGCTATTAGAAACGGAAACGTAGGCTTGCAATACGACACTGGTTTCGCGTTTGCGGAAGTAAATGCTGATGTTGTCTCTTGGATTCTCAAGGGAAGGAACAACAGAAAGCCAATTTTTTTGAATAGGGATGAACACAGGTTATTTTTAAATTTAACTTCTATTTACATTTATTTTATCTTATATTTTACTCCTTTTCTTTTTTTCCTTTTTTTCGTAAACTTCTCCAGTTTTGTTTTATGCATATATGTTTTTATTATTTTAGGAACAATGAATGATACATTTTATATTGTAATTAACTAGTGGGAATAATTGATGAACCCTCTTTCGGAATTATTTTATTTTGTAAGTTGTATTATTAGTTAAATATAGAATACAATATAGTAATAGTATGTAACTGTAGCCTCTTATAGTAATAAATAATATCAACGTTTATTAAATAGGATTGGTCAATCAATCAGCTGCACCAAACCAAATTCCATTTCCAATATGGATGATGATCGACACGATATAACAAACGATTATAAACCAGAAGAGAGTAAGATATTAATTGAATATGTTGAATCATTCATTTATTTGAATATTTTTAGAAACTGGAGAGAATAAGGCTTCGGTTTTGAACGCACTTAACGTATCAAAGAGTCCTACCCTGCTCTCCTACGGAAGTTCTGATAAAGATGTTGAATTCACCCTAGTGGATTTAGTCAATGTAAATATATTGAGTATTTTAAATAAATTTTCTAAAAATTACAATGTATGATATTTGAAATCCAACAATTTAGCAATTATTAAATATATAAATTTATAGACATCTAGATAATATTATAGATAGTTGGAAGACAACTGGTTATTATTACTATTTTAAAATTATTATATTATAAAAGTAGAAATAGAAGATGTGATCATGTTATTATAAGAACACTTTTATTCATTAGACTTATCATATAGATTGCTCAACGATTAAAATTGTGTCTTTAAAATAATAGCCATTTGCAAAAGAACAACCTTTATTTAAAAAGTCTTTAACGATCTTACCATTAAATATTTTAATGTATTATAAAAAAAAATTTTATTTAAATTGCATATAAATATAAATCGCAAGATATAAAATTTTTCAAAAAGACATAATATATTTATAATCAGAGTTGTTAAGCGGCGCTCCCCTTTTTCAAAATTTTAAAAATCAGGAGCGGGAGCGGGAATTAGCTCCTTTTAGGGCTGTAGAGGAGGAATGCCTCTCCAGCGTTCTTTTAAATTTAATGTGTAAATTAAATGAATTTTTAAATATTAATAAATCTATTTATTTATTATTTAATATTCAATAAAAATGAAATTTTATTTGAATATTAATTAATGCAATATTAAATGTTGCTTTTCATCTAATCAGTTAAAATATTAAACATCAAGTATTTCTTTCTTTTTATCATGAAAATTTCTTGAAAAATCTTGTCAGTCATATTAATATTCATTTTATAGATATATGATGATATATAGATCCAGACATCATAGCAAAATCGAATTAAAAAATAAATTATATATTTAAATAACTTATTTGCAGATTTTCAAATGTGTTTTTTTTCTCTTTAGCTTTCACCTTTTCTGGTGGTAAGCTCATCAATATCTCTTATGTTATTCACTATCTCTTATATCTTATTTATACTTCTTCGTATTGGCTCTAACTTTATGGCCCCATTGAAGTTTTGGCCTTCCTCCTTTACGTTTACCCATCACTTCCAAACTCTCAACCTTATTTCCTATGTAGTTCATAGGTCTTCAGATTGTATGCCCATACCATCTAAGTCTGTATCCATTATCTTAGTTTTAATGGGTGGTACCTTTAAACTTCCTAGTATTCTTGTACTTCGCACCTAATCCTTTCTTGTTACCCCAGAAATCATTCTCAGCATTCTCATCTTCATAGTTTGTAGACTTCACTCGTCTGATTCTTTGGTTGCCCATGTTTCCAAACTATATAGAATAGTTGGTTGTACTATGGAACTGTAAATTTTTCCCTTCAATTTGTATGGGATTCTTTTGTCAAAGAGCTCTATAGATATAGATTTCCACTTTAACCAACCTTGATTAATTTTAATCTAGGTCCTTTCTCTATTATGCCGTTTGTTTGTATAGTAAAGCACAAATATTTGTAGCTTTAAATTGCCGATATATGCCATTCATTTATATCAATGCTCTCTGTTTCATCTACTCCTATCACCATATACTCCGTCTTTTCTCTATTTACTTTAGTCCGTGCTTTTCTAGGATATAAATCCAGCTCACTAATCTTTCTTTCATTTCATCCTTGGATTTAGCAAGTATCACAATATCATCTGCAAATGTCATATTCCACGGGACTGTTTGTGGTATTTACTGTGCTAATACATCTATTACTGTTATGAAGAGAAGTGGGTTAGCCGACCCTTAATGAACTCCCTCGGCTTTTGTGAATCCTGTTGAAGTACCAGTTGTGCTACGAACTATTATGTATGACCCATATATATATCCTGTATTATTCCTATATATTTTTCGGGAATCTTTTTGTTGCGAAGCGCCCACCAGATATGTTTTCTTGGGATTCTATCGAAGGCCTTTTCTAGATCAAGAAAGTCCATGTGTAGCTTTTTGTTCTTTTCCCTATTTTTCACTCATTTGCCTAACTGCGTGGATAGCATCAATTGTTGATCTTCCAGGCATAGAGCAAAACTGAATCTCTCTTATTTCGATTATGTCTCATAGCCTTTTTTCTATTATTTTTCGTAGAGTTAAATAGAGTGACATTATTTTTATGCCCCTGTAATTTTGACAATTGTGTGGATCCCCTTTATTTCTGAAGATAGGAACTAGATAGCTCTGCCTCCATTTTTGAGTATCTCTTCATTTCCAAGTATTTTATTGTACAGATTTGTGAGAAGATGTATTCCATCATATCCTAGTGCTTTAAGGCTTTTTTGTTGTTTTTCATTTGCTTGAGATATGTGATTATTTCTTGTTCTTTTATTAGTTGTATAAGGTTTTGACATGGGGAGTGTTCATCTAGATGTAGTATGTGGGGATTAAAGTTGAGGAGCTCCTGAAAATATTCTTTATTTTTGATTACTTTCGGAGCTCCGTTTATATCCCTAGAATTCTTTTCTCGCTGTTTGGCTAATCGGTATATCTTTATTTATCTAGTTCTTCATACATGTCTTCGTATGCCATAGCTTAGGCCCTAGACACCGCCTTTGTAGCTATTCTCTTAGATTTTTTGTAATTTGTCTTGTCATCTGGATTTTTTGATTTGTAACATATTTTATATAGGGCTTTTTTCTGCTTTGGTTTGTACCTCTTCATTCCACCACCATAGTTCTTTGTATGATTTGTTGCCTCCCCTTGTCAAGCCTAATGTCGATTTGGCAGTGTCCATTAATCTGGATGAATGTCCACATTTTTTACTGACTTTGAGGAATCTATTGTTTCAATGTTTGCATTGATTGCAAAGGCATCTGTCATTGATTTTAATCTACCCTATTGTTGCATTGTTCAAGTTTTATCTTATTTTAAGTGGATTTAGCGGTAATATCTTCTCCTGGGATGACTTTGCAGTCTATTACATCTTTTAATCTTCTGCAAGAGATGAACATGTAATCTATCTGGGTTTTCCTTATACCACTCATATGTTATTAATGACTGTCCTTTTTCTTATAGTATGTGTTTTTTAAGGCAAGGTCAAAGGCTTCCGCAAATTTCAGTACATGCTCTCCTTCATCATTTCTTTCTCCATATCCAAAACCACCATGATGCCTTTTGTAGCTATCTCTTGCTTTCCCCACATGCATTTAAGTCACCACCTACTATGAGTAGGTTATCCTTAGGGATTTCCATTACAGCTTCTCTCTTCTTCCTTGCAACCCGTTTGAGGAGCATATACTGAAAGGATGTTTAATATTGATTGACCAATGCAGAGTTTTCATTAGTCTATCAGAGATCCTGTTAACTTCTACTAAGAAGGTTAGATCTTGACTGAGGATTATAGTACAATTTATACCCAAGAGTCTTCTGACCTTTCTCTTGTATGCATGCTATATATCAACTTTTCTCTTGTTCAACATTGATGCCAATTATCTCGTCTTACCTTTAAGTGTACCAATATTCAAACTTGCTAACCTGCCTTCTTTGCTTTGACCTTTATTTTACTTTTCACAGGATGGAGGTCTACACCCTGCGCGTCGCTTGGAGGAAACGCCCTAGCTTTCATATTCATATTTTCTTTTGTGTCCTTAATTTTTGTTTATTGGATAAGAATCCCTAGCACCATGCTGTCCAAAGTCATTGACCTGGGTGTCGTCTCTAAGCTCCGAAATTCATCTTACCATATGTCTTTACACATCAGTCATCAAAGAAAAACCCGAAAATTTTTACGTTTCTTATCAGGATCGAACCTGCGACCTTTGTTTCCAAGCCTACATCATAACCCACTAGGCCACTCTGTTTAGATGAAAATATAATTGCTGCTATTATCCATCCTGCATTCAAATTAAATTGCGAATTTCACGGGAACCCTGCTATGATTTGGAGAATTTTTTTGGATTCCATGAAATTGATCATCAGGAAGATAATATATTGGACAAATATTTTTTAAATGATGTTATCAAAATTACTATTTTTGATAAATTTCTTGAATTAAAAAATATTTTATAAAATAGAATACCCCGCTTCCCTCTAGTGCTCCTGTTGAGCGCCTGTTTAAAATTGCTAAACAAGTTTTAGGGTAGAAGAGTGTATGTTTGTTAGATTCAAATTTAGAAAAGTTATTACTTTTAAAAGTTAATAAAAGATTAGAAATATTTTGTTGTTCATTATAGAGACATGAGTATTTTTTTCGGTTTAAAAAATTCTATTGTAACTGCTTGTGTCCTCTTACTTAAAAGAGCTTTATTGTTATTTGGTAACCTAAATAATTTAAAAAAATATAATATTGATTCATAGCCACATCCTATTCTATAAAATAATTATTAAAAATAAACAAAATTAAAAACTAGAATTTCTTTATTAAAAAATAGTGAAAAAATAATATTTATTGAAATTATAGAATTATATTTTTGTTTATGATATTTTACAAGTCATATTTAACTTAATTTTTATTATATAAAGATTGTTAAAGGTTTAAAAAATTTCTGAATGTAATTATTTGTAAAAACAAAAAATACATAAATAAATGCTTATACATGCGAAAAAGATACACCCTTATCTGAACAAAAAACTTTTACAATATTTTAGATTTATGTCATTTTATAATAAATAATATATATTCATATTCTATTGTAAATTAGCTATTTTATTATAAAAAAATATATAAATTCAATTTTTTAAAATTTTCCATCTGTGCAAATTTTTTTGTTACTTTATTTTCTTATTATATATTATTAATATAAATTGTTTAATATATATATATTTAATTTTCTATACATTCATTAAAGTATGAATTTTAACAAAATATCTTTTAAAAAAATGTTGTTTCTAGAAATTTATATTTATATGCGATTTAAAATAAAAAAAATTCATAAATACATGAAATATTTAACGTTAAAATTATTATAAACCTAGACATATTAAAATAATGGTTGTCATTTTGCAAATGGCTGCCAAATTAAAGACCATAAAACATTATAAAATTGAGCGTTGAACAGTCTATATTAATATAAGTCTATGAATATTATCAAATGCATAATTAATAATGTTATATTTATGGAAAGGTTTGATTTTGCTTACAAGAAAATAGGGTTTACTTGGCCTGTAATTGATATTTAAATAGATTTCCACCTTATGTCTAAAAAGAATTTTTATTAATATATATACATGATAAATAATATTATAAATTAGGTTAACCTAGGTGAAAATTTAGCTATCATCTTGAAAATGTTGAATTTAACGAATTCTCAACGAACTTTGACAATCTCTTTACATCTATATTCCATTTATTATACTGGTATAAATAAAATATTCATGAATTATTTTCTTTCTTCTCTTTTCTTATATTATTGATTTAAAAGTTAATTTTTTATTGATTTAAAAGTTAATTTTTATTGATTTGAAAGTAAATTTTTATTGATTTAAATTTTTAATGAATAAAATATTAATAATTTATTGCATATTCAGGTATTATACATGAAAAGATTAAATCATCTCAATTTGAAAATGTATCTCTAAATGGAAGAGAAAGTTTACATCATTTTAATTATGTTTTTCTTTCTATACATTATTATACCTTATTTATAAAAATTTATTATATTATATTCTTCTAATTTTCAAATATTATTTTGAAATTTCTAAAAAAAAATTTAGATTATTATCAGGGACCTAAATTATTTAATAAGACATTATTAAACAAAATAATTCTAGAATACGTTCTTGTAAAAATATTTCAAAAGTCTCTGAAAGTTCCATACTTATAATCTATTAATTGTAGAAGAAAAAAAATCATATTTTTCTGTAATTTTATAGGATATAATATCCTTCCCAATTTATCTCAAAATTTCCTTTTCTCTAGATAAGCCAATATTTATTTATCGTTAAAGGAATTGTATGATGATTTTTTATTTCGAAAAACCTTATCGATTGAAATTTTATTTATTATTTTAAGGTAGAGATATTAAAATGGAAATACCAGCCGAAGATTACCTGGATCTTGTGAAGGATGGATGCAATTTTCACGTGACATGTATGGCAATTGTTAGTGAGACCAATCAAGTCTTTTCAAGCGTCGATGATTTCATCATTTCTATGCCGACCATTAATATCAAGGTTTTCATAGTTATAATAGAGTCACCTGTTTATTATAGAGTAGGGAAAAGTAAATCATTATGTAAATTATTATATTTAAAAGATTTAATCAGTTTATACTCACTTAAAAGATTATATTTTCGAAATTTCACATCATGATTTTAGGGGAAAAAGCACTAATTTATAATAAATTTTGGAAGTTTTTTCGAATCGAAATATAGAGGTATCTATAGGTAAAAATACCTAAGTTTGAATCAATTTCAACATAAATAGAATTAATAATTATATTAAAAAAAATGATACATTTATTTGCTTAAAAATGCAATTTAAGGATCTTTAAATATTCTAACATCGAGATTTAAATAATCAATAAATATATTTATCTAGGTAGAAAATCTGCCTTTGAAATTGAATAAACAGTCCTCTATAAAAGCTAGCTTTGTTAATCCCCTCAAAAAAACTCTCAGAAATTCTAAATGGATATTAGAGGGACCTGGAATCAACAAGCCTAAAGTGATTGCTAGCAGGTTGTAATAAACGCTGACTTTTTTACGTCTTTGTTCTATATTACCTTCTAAATTTAAGTTCCCTTATATATAATATAGTGTATTTATTAGCACCGGCTAACACATTCTTCAATTTCATTACTCTAATTCATATGACATTGGGTTTTCAATACCAAATTATATAATTTACTTTTAAGTATCTGGATCATATTCGTATCCTATAAGGCCCGTAGTCACTTCATTGATCGAGGAGAGTGTTATTTGGATGCCAATATTTTTTTTTTTTATTAGACAAATTCCGAGATAAAGTTTTAGAGCCAAAGTTATTTTTAAGCCTCAGCCTTCTCCTGCCTTTTCGCTTCTTAACTACGGGCTGGTAACATATAACACTCTTCTGGCTTCTCCATTCTACTCAGCCCGCAGTGATACAGTTTCTTTTCCTCTATCATCCAATTATAATGTGAATCCTAAATAATTATAAACTTCTTTAATTTAAGCGTCCATTCTACAATGTTTATTATTATGATGACTTTTACTAAGTCATTAATTATATTCTATTTTATCTCCTTTACTCTTAAAGCATAACCTTCTACATTTTCCATCGGTTTTATTTAGTGATTGCATTCATTATCACATAAGATTTAAGACTTATTCACCTAAGATAGAAATCTTGTATATCTTGTTTCCCATATCGTGTTCATATACTCATATGATAGATCTATATAATTTTATATAATTTACTTCTAAACTTCACCATGTCAATTATCAAGAAATTTTATCAAAGGCCACTTGAGATCAAATAACAAAGCCCACATAGAACCACATAGAATATTTCTCATTCTTTTCTTTCTAATTTTTTAATGAATAGTAGTTCCAACAAATGGCATAAATGGTTGACTTCTTAGGTAACAGTTTGTTTTTGTCAATTTTATCTTAAGCAATTGTTTTTCATTGATTATCTCACATTAGCTAGATGCCTTTATAATTTATACATTCTTGTAAATATTTCCTTTACATTTGTAAATAGGGAGTAGGTAAATATTTATCAATTGTCTGAAATCATTTTATTAAATAGATTTTTTAGGGAAGAATATAATTTCTTATCCAAGTGCTTAACTCCCGTAGGAATGCCATTCGGATCCCTGTATATAATAACCATCATTTTAATGAAAGTGTCAATTATATCTTAGTCATTTTTTGGTTCGTGTTATATTTATTCTTTCCACCTCTCCACTATATAAGTTTCATTTATGACTACACTTTTCCATCTTTATTTATTTTTATCAAGCTGGTATCTGTTATATCATTCACATTTCTAGCCCTTTTTGTCACGCAATTTTAAATATTTGATTATCCTCCCTTTGTCTTGTGTTTCAAATATTCTGTATATAGATTACATTTCAATTTTTTTTTTATTTGGCCACATAGTTTTAATGCAATAAGGTATAACTTTACTCTGAAGACTTCCGCTTTGACAAATAAAAATTTAGTTGGTGTTCGGAGTAGGTACGGATTTAAAGTCTGGTCAGAGATTTGGGTCGGACTAGGATAGGTTTATGGAAAGCTATTTTCTCTATGTTACAGTTAAAAAAACTTAATATTATAGGATCGAGTTCGATAAAGTACTAAACCATAACCTTACCCTAGTGAGGCTCTAGAAAAGAATGACTATATCTGGCTTAAATATAACTAAATTATAAACCTGGGCATAGATAAGAAATAACTTCTTTTTTTACAAAACTCGGGTTGATTATTTTTAAAAAATAAATTTAAATTATTTACAATTCATATGCAGTTTTAATTTTTTAAATTTTTTAAAAATTTAACGGATAAAAATATTTTAAATGCAGACCTGGCCATGCTAAAAAAAATTAAAATCTGGCTGAGTTAGAAATATGGAATACAGTGCAGGTCAATGATTTTTTATGCGAATGTAGTTTTTAAAAGCCTGTAATAATTTTCGTGGTATAATTACTTTATAGAATCCCCATCTTTATTGGTATTAAATACTATATATGACAAATTTTGTATTTTTATAAAGTATGTACTAAATAAACAAAACTATAATAGAGATATTCCAGGATCAAGTCTAGCTATGTTGGAAGCTAATATAACCCCTCGAGACACTGGGAATAAGACCATATTGGTTAGTTTTAGTTCATCAGATTTGAATGATATCGAGGGTTACCTACATGTCAGCGTTATACAATGAATAATAATTTGGAGTAGGCTTATGAATTAAATGCCGACTTATTTTTTTAATATAATATTTTTATCGGATCGAGAGATACGAATTATTTATATATTCATCAAAATGAATTAAGTTCCTCGATACCATATATTATGCCTCTTATATAATTTAATTTTTTTTCCCACTTTTCAAATGTTGTAAAACCAAAAAAATTATTTATGTGATCAAAAAATTTTGATAATGTTTACAAATTTTATTTCACAAAAAATCATTTTTTCAAAGATACTTATTTTAATACATTTGATATATATAATCCAATTTACAATGCAATTAATAATCAATTACTTATTTAATATATTTATTACAATATTTTCATTTAATTTTGCTATTTCTTAAATAAAATGACAAATATATCACATTATATTATCTATCTAAATAATATTCATATATTTATCCATATATTTTACGATTTCGATAATATTGCATTTTACAGGGTAAAGAAAAATTTATATTCCTTCCAAAGCCAAATTTTACAAATATTTTTATTCTTATAAGTCATTTTTTAAGCACCATTATTTTTATAATAAAATATTATAAATTTAAATAAAATTTTAAGTAATTATAATTTGCAATATTAAATAATAATCATGTTCGACTGCGACGCCTGGAGTTAATAGTAGCTTGGGTATATTTTTTTGGGTCTGTAACGTTTAAATTTTTAAATAGAAAAGTATTTGTGTAATTATCTATTTTGTTCTTTATCTAAGAATGCTGTGGGACTCCAGTTGATTTGAATTCTCGGAGATTCTTAATTGATAATTTTTATACTTACTTTTGTACCACATAGTTGCATAAAGATTAATATTATTATTCGGCTAAGCCGAATCGGATAGAACAGAGCTGAGATGACTTAAATTTTAGGTCAGGGTTTCCAAGTCATAGTTCAGGTTTTTTGTCTTCGACCTGGATATTTGCCCCACAAGTTCACAGGGAAAACTAAACAGAGTGCCTTGTGGAAAAATGTCTCAAGATGCTTTTTATAAATAAATATTTTGATTATTAAAAATGAGTTCAAATATTATAACAATCATCTGATGGAGATGCAAATATACTAGGTGAATTAGTTGGATTGCATCAAATAAAGAGACTGTTATAAGATTGTATTCAAAAGGCGAGAGATGTGGACGAAAATATACGAATACCCAGTAATAAGTTCAAATAATTGGTTAAACAAGATAGATGGCACGTGAGAAGGTATTATTATGGGTTTAATACAAGGATGTGCTTATATCAGCCAATATAGTGTCTTACATTACATATATAGCAATAATTATTTTGAATAAAAAAAAGACTTAAAATCCGAAGCTTATTAAATACAATATGCCAATATAAAAGTTTATTAGCTGCTCCAACCCTATGAAAATATTTATAAAAAATTTTTTAGACATTCTAATAGCATAGAAAATGTTTGTATATGGTAAATCTTTTAATATATGTTGTATTCCATATTAAATCAACCAAAAAAAGTCGATTCTCAACCCGACCCTCTTCGATTTTTTTAAAAATTTGCATGTTTATAGTATATACACTAACTAATAAAAATGTAAAATTTTACTTTTCAAATCGCCATACTTCATGAGATATGGCCATCTTTATAAAGGCGGAAATTCCAAAATACACTATATTTAATTTTAAATATCTCAAAAAGTAATTAAGCTAAAGACATGATTTTAATTTTATTAAATAGCTCTAGAATATCTCTTTATTATGATATAAAATTAAAATAAAAATTGCTCTTTTTTTTTCTTTTAATGTTTTTTTTACAGATAGACATTATACTTCTTAATATTTGTACAAAATCCTAGATTGGGACGAGTACAGAGCCAAAAGTTATTAGACTTTAAATATAAGTAGTATGGCTTAAATCCTATATTATACCAACCAAATGTATAGTAATTTACGAAACAAATAAAAAGAAAATTCGTTTGGGATCGGGACGGATATATTTTTTTATAAATCTTTCTGGCCGTGTTAGAAAAATTAGGTCCTATGCAGATCATTAGTAGACATTGTGTCATATTTAGCACATAAGTTTAGCTATTTTATTTTAGAAGGAAAATAATTGTAAAAATATTTATAACTTTATTTAGCTAATTAATGGGAAATTAATATTCTAATAAACATATTAATTAAATATTATCATAAATTAAATAATCTTATGAATTAGAATAAAATTTGACTTTCATTTTTCCTTCCCTTGGAATAAATGAATGATATTTTTGTGTCCCAGGAATTCGTTTGGCCATTAAAAATCTATTTTCATAATTGATTTCCATTCTTAAATATTCTACGTTGCTAACAAATATATAATTAATTTCCTGGGATATTGATTCTCGCATAATTATATAAGTCAATAGGAGTTATTATATGATTTTCATGAGGACGTTGCAGACTTGCTCTAGCCGCCAACCTCTTAGTAATTCCCCCTAAACTATCGCAAGGAATTTTGCAATGTGTAGTTGCAAAAAAATGCCATTCTGCCTTGATCCCAAAATCATTATAATGGTTGTAGAGGTTTACAAAGTTTTTTTTGTTTTTGTACTGGGTAACAGCTCCATCAGAAAATTAAAATATTATTGAAATCTTATCAAATCTTTCTTTCAAGAATATAATTAATTTTATTTGAAATAAATGAAAGGAACAAGTATTTTGTTTAAGACAACCTGATATAATCAAGTAACTGAAATGTTTGATGGTATCGCCTTCGCGTTAATAAATCATAAATGGATGAAATGTTGCCTGATTATTAGTGAATGGGAACCTTGAGAGTGATCTTGAACTACAAAAGCGTAGTTCTCTGCAAATTCGGATATTATTAGATATTCCCCATCTCAAATTTGATTTTAATGACTTAAAAAATTAAGATTGTTTCGAAGAAATAAATGCATGAGGAATTAAATAATTAATTTTTCAATCAAATACTCAACAAATTTGTTGGCGGACTTTGTTAAAGTTTCGAGTGTAGTACGGTAAGCTGCCAACCATTGTTTAAATGTTATATAATCTATGGCATTATTATCAAATAATAAGTGTAATCTTTCTTTAAGTTCCAAAGTGCTGGGACACATATGCCATTTCCTTAAGTAAGAGCAAGGCTGGGCTGGATTGCATAGACTTTGTGCAATGTAGTGTTTATAATCTTTTAAGGGAGGAAATGGAAAGTTATGCTGGTTTGCAGTTAGCTTATCTAATTTACCGCCAATTTAATTAACTTAAAATTTTGATGAAATGTGCAGATGCACATTGTATGCGTTTCAGACCCACCTGCTAAAGTACAGTTTTTTGGTCTCATGATAGCAAACTTGCTAAAAAAAGCTACAAATAGGGCTCAATAAAAACTTGACTGATTTGAGGATGTTCACAAAAGAGATTTTCATGAAAATGAATATACCATTCTGTAGAGTTAGTCGGCATCTTGAGGAGTCACCAGATATGCTTAAATATAAACTTCAAATCTATCGAATTGATGTATTTAGTGATATTATTGATCAGATATAGTAAGCAGTTTCATTAAATTTTTTTAAAAATTAACATCTTATAACGGATGCCTAATATTTCCAGAGAAAGTTATAACCGAAAAGGCTTTGAATATAATATAAGCCCTTAGTTAAAGTAGATCGAGAAACTACGAAATTGACTAATTTTATTTTAAAGAATTTTATGATAATTGACTTGATTATTCATAGTATTAATGACTTATCAGAAATAAAGAGTGAAAATAAAATTTAAGAATATAAAAAAAGTGTCAGGGTAAAATCCCTAGCTAAATGATGCAAAACATAGTGCATGCATTTATTTGCAAAAACCAACTTATACATTATTGTATACGAATATTTTCTTAAATCATCCTTTTCACAAGTGAGATATTAACAAACTTGGTTAACTAAAAATAATTAAAATAGACTACTAGCCAATATTGGCCAGAATAATCTAGGTGGAAGGCTTTTTAATACCAGTAGAACGTAAATTAGTAGAGCAAATTGAATTAAGTGAAATTCTTAATTATTAATCAAATTCTTATTACGTAGCTAATTTTTGATTTAGGTGGGAGGGAAAGTGGGAGAGGAGTATATGGGAAGAGAGGTAATAATGTCACAGGTGGATTAGGAAGTGTATGAGGCTTTGCCTGCAAGTTCCAAATTTATATCATTTTATTATATCTTTGTCCGTGATATTTACATTGTAAGTTAAACTGTCATCAACCTCATTTTTTTATCGCGTTATTTGTAATAAATTATTATATACTTATATTTTTTCTCGTATACAATTATACTAAAATTAATAATCTTTTTGTTTAGCTTATCACTCGTTTTCCTTTTACCTTCTCTGTTTCTCGGGCATCTAGTGGGTTTTAATTTTAGTAATGTTCATTAGAAACACCCTGGAGTATGATTAAACTAATTTAAACTAAAATTATCATGGGTCGCTCTAACCTCCAAGTATATTCATAAACGGAACACCACTACATATACTAATTCTACTTAGGCTAGCACACTTTTAAGATAAATTTCAAAATAAACCAATTTAATATAATTTTCCTATGAAGTTCAAAATAATGATAAGATAAAAATGTGTATATCTCCACAATTTCAAGTATAATATACTTCTTTTAGGTGATTTTGACAGAAAAAACAATTTTTTTAAAAATAATGTAATATGTAAAATTTTTATATCTTTGATTAAATATAGGTCATTATTATGTATCATCTATTTTAAAATATTCCATAGAATTAATTTGATTATTTAAAAAGCCAGTACCTAAATGTTTTGACAAATTCCTTTTTTTGTTCTAAATTTTATTATAATATTTTCACGTGTTATAAGGTGACGTCTATTAGAGATCTGTATCGTCCAGTCCGAAACTCGTCTGAACCTTCAATGTAAATATATGATATTTCTAGACTGTGCCAAATATTTGGACCGGATAACCATTCATTCATGGTTAGCGCGAATTCGAGCCGAGATAAATAACACATGTTCTATTATTGCATTCTTCCCTGAGAATTTTGCAAATTACTCCGTGAAATCGCTCTAACTGTGGATGAGAGGTATATAAAATATTTTCCTCGGGCCAGCTTAAATTATTACTGAGTCGAAAAAATATTTTTGAAATTTTTTTTTGACGGGGCACTTTAAGGCTGAGCAAGGCTACGCTTTTCCGCTGTCTAGAATATCTCTGCTTTAAAATTATTATTACATAAATTTAAAATTAAAACTTATTTATATATATATATTTCAAAAGTAAATTTTAAATATTTTATAAAAATTGATCTTTTAGTCATTTTCGTTGGAAACGTATCACTACTTTGGACTCGCTATCATCCAATAACGGATCATAGGACCGAGTTTCTTGGCTCGGACAAGCAAGACAAAAAGGCCGGGAGACGATCGCTAAAGTGATAAACTACTTTTAAAAAAACTTTTTAAAAAAGACACAGTTTATTTGGAAGGGGGGGGGGGCTTGATATATCTTACCCTAGCATTTAAAGAATATGGAATAGGATAATTTTATTTATTTTATTATCTCGCAAGACAGCCACATCCTTATTATAAAAATTTGTTAATATAATGTTCCAACTCCACTTACAAAAAATTATACTCCTTTATATTACAATTATGCTAGCCTGAAGAATTCTTTTTTGTTTTCGGGCCACTAACTGGCTGAATTTTATTTTACAAACCCTATCAAGTTGGTTTACACTGAACAAAAGGTTCTGTTAGAAGAATATAATTAGTCGAAACAAATTCCTATAACACATCTATGAATTTTTTCTTGTATATTATAGTATTGGCTAAACTTCTCCGTAAGTTTGACTTGTATGTGGTACCATAGTTCAAATAGAATCATTTCTAGTTCAAACAACCCAGCCTAAATCCGCAATTTGGAGAATACAGAAATAAAAGAAATTATTTTTGTTTTGAAAATTAAAATAAAATCTCAAAATACCTTACTTAGCCAAAATTATATATAATAAAAATTATTATCATTTATTTATTTATTATATATATATATATAATTTATGAATTTATGAATTTATTATTTTTCATTAAACCTTTTTGAAATATTAATTAAAAAATTTTTTTTTCTTTTTTCAAAATTTGAAACATTTTTTTAAAAGAACGAATATTATTTCCTGGAAGGTAAAATTTTATTTCCTTATATTATGTGATCTTTATATGTCGGAATTTTAAGATCGAAATCAATATTATAATTAATGAACATTACATAAATGGAGATTAAAAATTTTGTTAGAATCAGGCCCCCGCGTAGGAATTCGCTAGGAAGGCAAATGGTTGGGGGGGGGGGGGTAAATATTTTTTTTAAATAAAGATTATTCCAGGAGCCATTTAAGAATATCTTGAGTTTCATAAATTTATTAAGACTAGTTACTATAAAATATTAACAATTTTTGATACATTATAAAATATTAAATGTATATAGTTGGGGTATGAATTATTATAATATAAATATCTCGAAAGAGAACATTGTATAATATAAATTTTTTAAGCATTTAACATTTTGATATATAAATTTTAATTATATTTTAAAGAAAAATGTTAGAAAATGGATTAATGAACAAATATATTCTTTAATATATAAATTTACAAAAAATTCATGAAAAATAAAATATGATGCATTAAAAAATGGGAGAAAATATATAATTGACATCCTCACAATAAAAATCTTCCAAATATTTAAGTTTCTCTAACAAATTAAAAACAAATTCGAAAGGATTCTGCCGGAATAATATTTGCAGATTTGTGAGGATTGGTTGATTAATCACGAACTTTTTATTAATTTTAGAAAATTATCCAAGTGGGAGATAAAGAGATTTATTCTATAGTATACCTCGACTGACCCTTTATTACAAACAAAATGATTGACTTGCTTTTCTTGCGTGCCGACATAGGCAAATATTTAATTCATCGAGCTCTTTTGACTAAACAATGACATATAATTTATGAAATTCGTCTAATTTCCTTAAATTCAAATATAATGCTTTCGGATTATAGTCTCAATCAAATCGATGTCATTTTTTTGAACCACTATGCTTTAGTTTTGCAGTGAATGATTCGTGAAATTATAAAATGGTAGATAAATATATGGCCAAGGAAAATTTGAAATTGAATTAAAACATAGAATAAATTAATAAAGTATTTATTTCTGCGGTTAATGTGATAAATAAATGAAATTGAAATATTATAAGATATATTAATATTTAAATATATTTTAGAGCATCTACATTTTTTGACCTTGGAAGGGGGGAGGTTGGAATTCTTGTCTCTATGTTTAACTATGCAAGCTTGGAAATTCTGTCTAGTGGGTCAAAATCTTGATTTAGCCGTTAAATAAATAGACTATATCTAGTCGTTTGACAAATCTACCTAAAATTGAGAATTTCAATTGTGCCCGCATTTTGAAATAGTTATAAAATTCACAGAAAACCTAATCAGAACCCATTTCAAGCACGGGATTTCAAGTTCAAAATATCAAAATGATGTGATGTATTATATTTTGGGTTCAATTTTTTTACAAATTTGGACTGGTACTATGAAACCCCTGGAACCGAGTGTAATCTAAGAACCAAGAAAGAAGAAAGGATTAAGAGCCACCATTTTAAGAATATTATTGGAACTTATGCTCATTATAGTGCGCACAAATTGAACGACCGCAGTGTTTCAATATGCAAATAATGCATTTCAAATACATCCGTTTAAATCGGGCATATTTCTGTTTCTGTTTTGCATTTCAAATTATTTATTAAAAAACAAAATATCTTGAATTTTATAAAACGTTTTGAAATTTTGAAGTGATAGAATGGATACAACTTCTTTTAAAAAGTAAGAAATAATTATATTAAATGATACTATAATATTTTTAACTCATGGAATAATGATATTATAAAAGGATTTGCTAAATTAATTGAACCAAACGAGATAATTAGGAATCAAGAACATGCTGATCATTCCATTACATTCATTATTATGGAATATTTATCTGTTATTGGTTACAGGCATAAATATATAAGAATATTAAATATAATCATTTATTTAGCTTAGCTTTGAAATTCCCTGGTTTTAATACCATGATTACTTTAGAGATGGGGCTTCATCAGATAATTTGATAAAAGGAATGCCATCCTCAACCATTACAAATGACATTGTTTTATTAAAACCTGGAAAAGGCTTGGGAGCAGATAGATCAAGTGTATGGCTCACCAATTCTATCATATTTTTAGAATATATTAAAATTAATATAATGTAACCTCTATATAAAGAGCTATTTCTAAATACTTCACCATCACTCTGCTTTTCATATGATCCCACATCTAAAATACATTTTCACTTGATATCTGTTAAGGCGAAGCAGGAATTTCTGGGAAATCTAACGATATAATATAAATGAATATTATCTTTAAATTAGTATAATAAATTAACTCTTTCCCAATCATTTTTTGGTATACGTATAGGAATATATATATATGTACAACAACATTCCAAATTGCTGTGCACGTTGATTTCACAATGTAGGCTATACAGAATTTAGAAATCCTTTAACTATATGCTAATTGTTCAAAGGATACACCAGTAGTTAAATGCTTTTTATATAAATAATTACTAATGAATTAAATATATGTTACATCGAGGTAACAAATCAGCTCACAGCATTAATTTGTTTGTTTTATAATTATTAATTTTTTTATTATCATTTATTAAGAGAATATATGAAAAGGTTGATCTTCTCATTCGTGAATAGTTATATAATTGGAAATTTGTCAAATCTCTTTTTATTAATATATTCAGCAAAAAGATTTCTTTTAACATATATGTGAGATATCTATGCAACTCTTCTTTCCTTTATATCTGTTATGTAAATATAAGGGCATACATTTCATATTGAAAAAAAAATAATTAACGCTTCAATTTAAACATAGCTGTATTTACGTTTATTATTTGTATTTTGGAACGCTGTGTTGAGACGTTAAAATTCATGCGCACTATTAAGCAACAAATACCTGCTTTATCGGTGGAAGAAAAAAAAACACAGAATAATATGCAAGATACAAAATGATGGGAACATAGGATGCTTTATCATACTTAATAAAAATAGCTTGGAGGGATTATTTAAAAAAAAATGCAATATGAAAAATTAATGATAAAAAATTATTCAAATATATGTTGGGATGGTCAATTAAAAAGCCATCAAATAATTTTACATATGTATATTATAATTTCTTTATCTTTCAAATTATAATTTTTGCCAAATTATGATTTTTTGGCATATATTTTCCCCTTTTAATTTTTTAAAATTTTGATATGTTATATACATCTTTAACTAATGATATGATAAAAAATAGTATTTCATATAAAAAAAGCATAATATTCATATATCCCCGTCGAGTTTGTACAATATATTTAGCCATCATTATATAAAAAAATTTAAAAATTGATCTAATTTCCTACAAGCTAGTGAGGATGAAATTAAAAGTTGTTGAAAGTTTCTTTGAAAGTAATTGATTTTTTTAGGGAGGTTAATCTTTTGTTTATTTTATACAGGAATTCAAAAACATAATAATTTAAAATTCAATTTTTTGTAGATAACTTGAAACCCTAGATTATTATTTAAAAAATCTTCCATTTATGTGACCTTCATTTATTTACTTTTATTGTTAATTTATTTCTTTTTACCTTTTTTCATTTACCTATTTCATTTCATTTCTTTTAATTTTTCTTCTCTTCTCTTCTCTTCTCTTCTCTTCTCTTCTCTTCTCTTCTCTTCTCTTCTCTTCTCTTCTCTTCTCTTCTCTTCTCTTCTCTTCTCTTCTCTTCTCTTCTCTTCTCTTCTCTTCTCTTCTCTTCTCTTCTCTTCTCTTCTCTTCTCTTCTCTTCTCTTCTCTTCTCTTCTCTTCTCTTCTCTTCTCTTCTCTTCTTCTTCTCTTCTCTTCTCTTCTCTTCTCTTCTCTTCTTTTCTCTTCTCTTAAAATATTTAAGAAAATTGCTTCATACTATTATAATAATAATAAAATTAAACATTTCAAAAAAGAAAATTGATAGATAAGTTGCTCCTAAGAATATTTTACTTGTAAAAGGAAAATTTAATGGCATTTCCTAAATGTCAAATAATTAGGTCAAGATAGACCTGGTTTAGAAAATTTTATTCACTTCTAAGCCCGACAAGGTACACCTCAGATTTCTCTTTAAAACAAAATATTTATTTGTTCGCCTTCAGAACTACTTTTGAATATTTTTTATTATTTTATTATTTTATTATTATACAATTTTATATTTTAAAATTTTGTAATTTCTAAAAAATTTGGTTTTGTGATCAGGATGTAAAATCAGAAGTAGAAAATAATTCAAAGTTTATTATAAAAATCAAGTTTAACTTAAAATTTAATTTCTAATAATAAAAATAAAAAATTTTTGTTTAAAAAATAAAATTAATTTTTAATTTATTCTAATTTAATAAATTTAAGATACGAATTTATTTTAATCTTCAAAATTTAAATTTTTTAGTATAAAGAGATAAACAAAGGTAAAAAAAAATGAATACATCGGTCCTAAACATCTTGACTTTTTCTAAGATAATAACAGAATTTGAATGATTTTATTTAAATTTTAAATTCAAAAAAAAAATACCTGCATACTTTTAATAATGTGTAATGTTATTATATATATATATGATGGGGAAAAAAGAAATGTCTAACAACTTCAGAAACGATGACGAAATAAATTTCTCATTCGATAAAGATAACGATAGAAGTAACTTTTTTTCCGATGTTTCTTAATATCATATTGACAACAAAAATTTAGGAATATCAAATGATAACCCATTTTTTAATCGGCATCTATTGATTATAGTAATGAAATGGCCTTCTTAAACTAGCGTAAATCAATATTATTAATTTAAAACTCGCCAATAATAGGTGGCAATATTATAGATACCTTTATCTCAAACAATTTAAATTATTAAGAAAAATTATGATTTAAAACGCTTTTAGATTAATATTTAATTAGATGATTAGATAGCAAAATGGAAAATAGCCAAAAAAATTATATTTATAAAATCTAAAACCTATTTTATGTTTTTCTATTTTTTCTTGTTTTATTTTGACCTTTCTATTTTTTATATGTTAAAAATTTTTAAGGTACCGACCGGTTAAAGAATTTGGAACAATGAGCGAGATTTTTGTTTTATAGTTATTTAGAATGTGTCCAAAATATCAAAAAAAATATTAAGCTCACAAATTTTCTAAACTTTAAAGAAATATAAATAAAATAATCTATTAACTATAAAAAACATGCCTATAATTCTAGAAAATTTTAGAAACTTAGATTTCATAAAAATTTGCCAGAGTTTTAAAACTTTCTAATTTTTTTAAAAATTCTGGATAATAGCCTTATTATTTTTTAGGATCAGAGTGATCTTTTTCTATTTTTTACATATTATGTTTGTAAAAAAAATTTAAATTATTTTTGGTCAAATTTTCTTAAATTTCTATAGAAGATTCCAAGAATCCTATGAGTCTGGAAGTTTTTGTGAACGCTGAATTTTCTTTTCTAGAATAACTTAACTCCTAATGGTTAGTTTTACTTTGCCAAAAAAATATAACTATATTCAACATAGGCTGGTAATTTCTTTTTTAAAAAAATATTAGACCACATATATATAAAAAAAAAATTTTTTTTCAAAAATATATAATAATTTTAGGGTTTCGTCGATTATCTAATGAACATAATTATAACGCGCTTCCATTTTGATTCTTAGTTGGAACTTTTAAAACGATTTAATTCCATTCTGATTATATATTAACGAATTTTTTATAAATCTGTATATGTTCGTTCTGCTAATTTTAAAAATAAGTGTTTGGATTTTTTAAGAAAGAAGAGATCAATCAAAAAATTATAACCATAAAGTGGGGGGGGGGGATTATATTTATTAATGGCTTTCTCCAAAAACTTTTTCAAAATTTGAAGTTTTAAAGTTTTAATGAAATCGTACGTTAAATTTTTGAAATTTTCATAAGTTAGGTAATCGAATATTTTGATATTTTGGACAGTCATATAGAAATCGTTGAATGATCCATAGTCTCTTCATAATAAGTAAAGTGAAGAACAATTTTAATTTATTATAAACAGGTTAGGTTCAGTTTATCGATCTTCTTTTTTCAATTTAAATATTAAATAACTTGATTATTCAAAAAAACATTCCTTTTTAAGCCTTTTTAATATAGTTAAGACTAAATATAAAAATAAATAAAATATAAAAATAAATAAAATATAAAAAAAATTATTTTTATAAAATGTTCTTTAAATTATCTGGGTAAAATTGATCGTTCACATAATATTTCAATGACTATGGATTGCTGGGTAAGCTTATTATTGTTCCAAGAATTTTTGATAGTAAAACATTTTCTTAAAAATAGGGGGAAGGATTTTATATATGATCACTTTATATTAACTTATTTTTTTAATAAAATTTGTATACATTTATGGAAACAAATCATAACTTTTTGTATTTAAAAAAAATTGAATAAAAAAGTAAATATTGGCAAATAAAATTCATATTTTGAGTTTGTAATAACAAAAAATATAACTCATATTCATTTGAGATTTAACTAATAAAAAAAAATTCAGAATATAATTTATAATATGAGTCAAATAATAAAAGATATTTTATCAGGTTATTTATTCGCTATGAAGTTTACACGCCTTTGATCTTATGATTGTTTTCAAATTTTATTCGTATTCTAAGATATTAAGCAACATAATAAACTATCTCAAATGAATAACTTAAACTAAAATAGAAATTAAAATAAAATCTTTCATATAAAATTTTTACTTTAAAAAAAAAAATAAATAAAGGAGATTTCAGATGGCCTAATGATATAACCGCTGATAATAGAGAGCATAATGCGAATAGAAGGGCAAACTTAAATCCACACAGACCGGAAGTAAATTATCCTACAAGAGATTTATACCCAAGACGTGCCCCGCCACAAGGAATAAATGATGTGAAAATAAATAAAAAATAATATAAATTGATGGATAAATAATATAAATCAATTCAATATGAAATTTATTTGCAGATAACCAACGTAGACCTATCAGTGAGAGCTAACACTGATTTACACAGAACCTCCAAATTCGATATAGTTCGGAGAGAAGAAGTATTGGTAGTTAGGCGTGGACAAGCTTTTACGATTCTAATTTCTTTCAAGGAAAATTTCGACCCCAGACGGCACGGGATCAAATTCGTTTTCGACCTAGGTAAATGTTAATATATTAATTTCAAATGTTATTTGGCATATTTAGTTTCTAATTTTTTTTGGTTTTTACGCAATAATGGCCGAAACCTGAGAGCAAAACTGGCCTTGATAAAAAAAAATTTTATTAAAAAATTTAATATTTAACTTAAATCTAATGTTATTATTAAACTGCTAACTCAATATTTTAATCAGAAAAATATTATGTAATACTGAAGATTTTGCATCTAGATGGTCCAAAGGTTTAACATATCGGCTCAAATCGAACCGTTTAAAACAATATAAATCTATAATACCCCATTAATAATTTTATCAGTTAATCTATCGGCCTATTTACTATTTAATAAATGTATTTTTTTTTCATGTTATTTATGGTTTAAATATTTTCTATAACATTTAGTTTTAAATAATATAGTTTAAACTTGTATGATGGATAGGAATAAGGACGTTTCCATACAGAACGTTTTTTCAAAGTAATCGGGTATAGAAAACAAACTGGTTTGATAATTTTAGAATTTAGCATTTTTTTTCGAAATAGAAAAAAATTGCTGGTAATATTACCTAAAATTCGCTTTCAAAAAACTTTCTGTTTGGAAATGGCCTAATAAGTTAATTAACCCTACCCCCAATATTATTATATAAAAATATTAAAAAAATCATCTTAATTATAATTCAATTGCTTTTTTTTCTCCCATCAAAATTCAACCTTTAATATTGAGATATTTATGGTTAGAGATTTGTAGAGCTAGTTAAATATATGCTTATTTCCAAATCAAATTATATTTTATCGCAGTTATTTGAGTTAGAATTGTATAATTGGGTTATAATATAAGACTCCAAATAGCTTTAAAAAAAATTATGAAATTTCATAATTAAATGACACTATATTTTGATTAATTAATATATTATAGTTATGAATTTTTTACTATTTTTCTTAAACTACATTTTCCTACTTTTTATTTCACAGTCTAACCAATCTGATATAATTATATTTTCTTCTAAAGGACCGAGTGCCAACATAATCAACGGAACAAAACAGGTTATTGAGGTTGAAGATGAGACGTTACCCGTAAAGGTTACTATAAAAAAAATGATAAAACATTTTGATATATCTATTTTCCTATTAGAATTTTAAGCAACTTTAAGGAAGTTGTGAACTATATTAATGTAACTTTAGTTGAAAATACCACATACAAATATTAAAATTTAGGATAAACTTAGTGTTTTTTAAATTTATTTATTATCACATTTATTAAATTCAAATTCTATTTTCCTATTAGAATTTTAAGCAACTTTAAGGAAGTTGTGAACTATATTAATGTAACTTTAGTTGAAAATACCACTTACAAATATTTAAATTTAGGATAAACTTAGTGTTTTTTAAATTGATTTATTATCTCATTTATTAAATTCAAATTTAAAGAGTAATAAAATATTTTTTTAGGTGAATATAAGTCTAATTATGCTAAAAATATGCTTTAATAGTTATTTTAATAAGAATCTTTGAGTACTGACTCATTTTATCCCTTGCTAATAAGAAGGAAGGAATGAAGAAAGGAAGGAAGGAATAATTATTAAAATTTAATATATTTAATTTTTATAAAACTTGTATATAAAAGCAATGGGGATGCCGAAATAAATCCATCCAAGGAAACCGGGTTTGGGTGGAGTGTTTGGCAGCCCCAAATACTTCAATAGGTATGTGGATACTTTCGATCGTGTCTACATCTCTAGCTGATGCTGCTAATTTTTATAGGAGAGAAATAGTTTTTAAAATAAATAAACCTATCTTCATTCTGTTCAATCCTTGGTGCAAAGGTAACAAATTAAATAAATGAATTTATAAATCTTTTAATTTTGATATTCTACATTTCTGATAGAGGACTCGGTATTTTTCGACGATGATGAATGGCGTGAGGATTCCGTGTTGGGAGATGTGGGCAAAATTTGGATGGGAACATCGAAGGACAAGCACTCACGTATGTGGAGTTATGGACAGGTATTTGTAACTTTTCCAGTTCATTGAGCAGTTAATGTTATTAGCCGTTTATACATTTTATTGTTTGGACTTACCCTAAAAGAAAACGACTACTATGGCATTAATTAAGTTATAAAAAAATATCAATAAAGTTTGGTTAAAATAGAATATCTGCAAATAAAATTTTTATTCGATTTAGTACGAAGAGAACGTGTTAAGTTGCGCTTTTTTGGCTCTCGATATGACTAGATTGCCCCACCAACGCAGAAATAATCCAATAGAAGTGTGCAGAGCTATATCAGCGATAGTAATAATTATTTAAATTATACATTATGTTATATATGAGTTTTAAACGTTAGGTTATGTTTTTGACACTATGCTTTAAATTTAAACATTGTTATATATATATAACTGCTAATACATTCTGACTGATTTTTATTATTTCTTTTTAACTATCATATTGACACAAAAAATGGTTTATTAAAGAGGTATTTAGACTAACTTTAAAAAAGATTTATCACCTACAAAATTCTCATGCATGAACAAAACACATTACCAACGGTTTATTTTAGAAAATGGGAAATGTTATCGAGACAGAAAAAAATTCTCTGACTAATGTTTCAAGGCGTAGTAGAAAGAGAAAATTATATGCACGATACTAAGATTACATTTTAAACATAAAAGATCCACATCCAAGGAGAACTTGGGCGGGGGTTATTTTTAAAAGGGTAGAATATATTATATTTATTTATTTAATTTACATTAATATTTACCTTAACGAACTGATTTTATTATTTCGTTTACTTTAAATTATATTAACTTAATAGTTTCTTAATACTTTGGTTGTTTAAATGATTCTTATTTTATATTTAATCGATTAAATAAATGGATAAATTGAATTTTATAATATATGTATACATGTAAAATTTATTAGATTTTCGGGGTAGTTAAAAAAATTTTAATATTGAAATAAAATAAAATATTTTTATAAATTTTTTATTTATTATCTTACTACCTGCTACCTTAAGAATAACGATATTTTTTTATCCCCGTAAGTTGTGAAATGGAATTTTATTTTATTATATAAGAATTAAACGAGTAAGATTAATTTTGATAAGATTTTTTTTTAAATTGGAATAGATTTATAGTAAATTATTAATTAGAAGATAATAGTGTTACAAATGAAAAAGTATAAATACAATTGAATAATAGTTTCGGTTTTTATTTTTAGGTAGCATTTTAAAATGTTGATAATCTTTACTATTATTTTTGGCTCTTTTGATGCTATTGATGAATTTTAATTAACTCTCTAACGACTTCTCGATAATATTATCCATATGTGGCCCAAAGTTTAATCGCATGCATAAATGATTGGATTGCAACATTGATCTATAGTAAAAGTTGACTCCAACATATGCCATATTTATATACAATAAATTGTTATTTTTATTTTGTATAAAATAATTATTCTCTTCAGGTGAATTCTTTAGATGGGGATAGGGGTATTGTGGAAGGCAATTGGTCTGGAAATTATAGGAACGGAATTAATCCCACTGATTGGCAAGGTTCGACACAAATAATGCAAAAATACTACAAGACTAGGAATTCGGTCAAATATGGTCAGTGTTGGGTCTTCGCCGGAGTAACCACGACAAGTTTATATTTTATTGTTTGAGAAGGGAAAGCTGGAGAATACAATAGAGGATAGGATATAACAAATAATATAATCTCTCTGTTAAAAAAAATATGTGTATAAAAGTTCTAAGAGCCCTTGGAATACCGTGTAGAACCATCACCAATTTCAATAGTGCCCACGATACAAATAAGAACCTTGTGGTTGATGTAATTTACAATGAAAGGATGGAGATTCAGGAAGAAATTAGCCCTGATTCTATATGGTAATTTATGTCTTTTTTTTCAAACCCCTATTCATAATTTAAAATATTTTAGTAAATGTACGAATAATAATCGAATCTATTTTAAAATAAAAAAATTTAAAATCATAATATTTGACTATAAAACATGAATTAATATAATTGTATTATATTATGGAAGACTATTTTCTTTTAACCCATTTGTTCAGAAATTTTTCTTATCTCCTTCCTCAAAAATTATAGAAAATATTTACTTTTTTTTATTTAAGTTGTTTATTGATACATAAGCATAACACGGTCATTGTTAAGGGTGAGGGGAGAGGGGCACTATTAATTGGGGGGGGGGTTCCATAAAATTTTTTAAAGACCTTTAGAAAAACTCATTGTAGGTTAGGCTATATTGCATATTCTATAAAATAATTTTGTTTGTCACTTTTATTTACTCAAAATATTTTAAATGATTTTTTATAGTGATAAATTGTACAAAATATTTGGAGACATGAGTGTTTGCGCTTTTATTAGCCCAAAATGATTTTTATAACAGTCAAAGTCCCTGAAAGAGGTTTATAATATATATAAACCTTGGCTTAAGGTTATAATTTGTACGTGGTAGCTTATGCTATTCAAATTTCTTAATAATTTTATAAAGTTTTGATAATAATATCATAAATTCACAAAACAAATCAAAACACGTTTATGCCCTCCCCCCATCCCTTCCCCTTCTCATATGTATTGATAACTAGTTAACCAGATAACCTGGAGTAAGCTTAATTAGTCTCAAAATTGTATATAATATATTATTATATATAATTTAGGAATTATCATGTTTGGAATGAATGCTGGATGACAAGACCAGACCTGCCTTCAGGTTATGGAGGTTGGCAATTGTTGGATTCTACCCCTCAAGAAATAAGCGAAAGTATTTTTTATTTTGGGTGGATAAATATCATCTTTTTTTATAATTAGAGCGCACTTAATAAAGCATTTGAAAAAAAACAATCAAAATTAAAATATTTTATCATGTTAATTAGTTATGAATACCATTATAAAGACGTTTATAGATGTGGCCCAGTGTCTATAAAAGCTATAAGAAACGGAAACGTAGGCTTACAATACGACACTGGTTTCGCGTTTGCGGAAGTAAATGCTGATATTGTCTCGTGGATTCTCACTAGAAGGAACAACGGAAAGCCAACTTTTTTATATAGGGATGAACATAAGTTTTTTTTTATTTAACTCATACATTTATTTTATCCTCCTTTTAACTTTTTTTTCCCTCCTTTTTTTGTATCTCCGGTTTTGTCTTATGTTTATATGTTTTTAAATTTTAAAAATAAGAACAATGAATGATATATTTTATGTTGTAATTAACTAGTAGGAATAATTTATGAACCCTATTTCGGAATTAGTTTTTTTTGTAAAAGTATTATTAATTATATATAGATTACAGTATAGTATTAGTAATAGAAATAAATATTATCAACGATTACATAAATAGGATTGGCCAATTTATCAGCTGCGTCAAACCAAATTCCATTTCCAATGTGGATGATGATCGACTCGATATAACAAACGATTATAAACCAGAAGAGAGTAAGATATTAATCGATAATTTTCATTCATTAATTTATTTATATATCTTTAGGTGCTAGAGAGGATAATGATTCAGGTTTGAGAGCACTATCAAGGAGTTCTTTCTCGGAGTCTTACGGAAGTTCTAATAAAGATGTTGAATTCACCCTAGTGGATTTAGTCAATGTAAATATATTGAGTATTTTAAACAAAGTTGTTAACGCTCATTTTAAAAAGTAGCTAGCTCCCGCTCTTATATTCTCAAAAGGAGCTAGCTCCCGCTCCAAGTAATGGAACCGTTCCTTTGATTTTCATTTTTTTAGAAGGTATAGGAAACAAAATTATATTTTTTTATTAAAAAGCTCTATTTATATTAAATGATCTGTCAAAATATTTATAACCTTTTATTAGCTTTTAAAAGTAATAAATTCTCTTTGAATATGTTTGTCCAATATATTATCTTCTTGATGATCAATTTCATGGAATCCAAAAAAATCTTCCAAATCATTTTGTATTCAAAAGAAAGATTTTTTACCTTTAGATTCTTTTTTAGATTAAGGCTGCTCACTTTTGAAAATTAAATAGTTTTATTTAAACATAAAAGGCATTTTTCCCTTAAATTTGTTTGATCATTATCAACAACTTTTAGTAGTATATTTTTTGTAAGATGGAAATGGAAATTCAATTTCTCCATCCATGATCTCTAAATCCATAATATCGAAAACTATTTTTTTATTATATATCTATAAAATGAATATTAATATTACTTACAAGATTATTCAAAATCTTTTCCATATAAATAGGAAAAGCTTGATGTTTAATATTTAAAATGATGAGATGAAACATTAAATAATGGATAAATTAAATAAAACAAAATTTCATTTTTATTGAATTTTAATTAACAATTAATATTTAAAAAATAATTTAATTTATACATTAAATTTAAAGGAGCAGTGGAGCGGCGCCTCCTTCTAGAAAGAAGTTAGCTCCCACTCCCGCTACTCAATTTTGCTCCAGATGTTTTTGAAAAAATGTAGCGCCGCTCATTAACAACTCTAAGATAAATATTTCAAAAATTACTATGTACTTATATTTAAAATCCAACAATTTAGAAATTATTAATATATAAATTACCGACATCTAGATAATATTAATGTCTATATTGCTATTTTAGAATAAATGTTAAATAATAGAAGTAGTATGCGATCATGTTAAAATAGGAGTACTTTTATTCACGATATAATAAATTATATCAATATAGAATCTTTATTTTAATAAGTCTTTGCTTACAATGATTTTAACGTTAAATATTGCAAGATATAAAATATTTCAAAAAGATATATTATATTTATAATTAACTATTATTCAAAAATTTCATATATAGATTAATGTAAAAAAAAATACTTATATATATTAAACAATTTTTATAATAATATATAATAAGTAAAAAAAGGTAACAGGAAAGTTTCCGCAAGATGAAGCATTTAAAAAATTTAATCTGTCTATTATTTATATAACAAATATAACAAAAATAGCGATTTAATTTACAACAGAATATATATATTTTTAATATAAAACGATATTAAAAATTGATGTAAGATTTTTGATTTTTTTTGGAAAAACAGATTAATTGATAAATTACAAAATGAAAGAAATATTAAATATAAACCCATATAATTCATTTAACGTAAAAGTTTATAAAAAACAAGATGTTTCATATACTGAAAAAAAGAATTATTGGCCAAACATATTATATTTTTAACCAATTTATTTCTAATAATTATTTTTATATTAAGCCTTCTATTTTCAAGAATTTTTATTAACATGTATACATAATAAATAATATTATAAATTAGGTTCGCTTAGGTGAAAATTTAGCTATCATATTGAAAATGTTAAATTTAACGAATTCTCAACGAACTTTGACAATCTCTTTACATCTATATTCCGTTTATTATACTGGTATAAATAAATTATATCTATGAATATTCAAATTTTTATTGATTTAAAAGTAAAATATATTGATCAAAAATGAATAATTTAATGCATATTCAGGTATTAGACATAAAAAGATTAAGTCAGCTCAATTCGAAAATGTACCTCTAAATGGAAGAGAAAGTTTATATCATTTTAATTATTTTTTTTATCTTTCTATTCATTATTATATTAATTATAACAATTTCCTATATTATTCTATTTTTCAAATATTATATAGAAATTTCTAATACAAGTTTGGATTATTATTGGGGACCTAAGATAATTAAGATCTAAAAATACTAAATTTAGAAAGAAAAGAAGGGAGAAGATATTATTAAAAATATTCTAGGGACAAGTTCATGTAAAAAATTTTCAAATTTTCTGAAAATAATTTTTTAACTTTAGGATATGAAAATATTATTGTTTTCTAATTTTTTTGGAATTATATGATTTTTTATTTCTAAAAACTTTATCTATCAAAATTGTTTTTTTTAGGTAGAGATATTTCAATGGAAATACAAGCCGAAGATTACCTGGATTATATTAAGGATGGATGCTATTTTCACATGACATGTATGGCTGTAGTTAGTGAGACCAATGAAGTCTTTTCAAGCGTCGACGACTTCATCATATCTATGCCCACCATTAATATAAAGGTTTTCATAGTTGGTATAATAGAATCACTTGTTTATTGTAGAGTAATTTGGAATTAGAAATAGGCAATCATTATGCAATTTAATCTATATAAAAGATTTTGTTAATAGAGTTTACGACTCACTTAAAAGATTGAATTTTCGAATTTGCACATTAGACATTTTATGGGAAAAAAAGACTAATATATAATTAATTTCTGAAGTTTATTCAAATCGAAATAGAGAGATTTCAATAGGTAAAATACCTAAATTTGTATCAATTTCAACATAAAGAAGAATTAATAATTATATTCAAAATAATAAATTTTATTTCTTAAAAATATAATTTAACTTTAAATATTTTAAAGTAGAGATTTCAATAATCAATAAAAAATACCGATTTATATTTATCTAGGTAGAAGGCCTGCCATTGAAATTGAATAAACAGTCCTCTATAAAAGCTAGCTTTGTTAATCCCCTCAAAAAAACTCTCAGAAATTCTAAATGGATCTTAGAGGGACCTGGAATCAACAAGCCTAAAGTGATTGCGAGCAGGTTGCAAATAAACGCTGATTTTTTTACGTCTTCGTTTTTTCTTTATTTCCCTAAATTTAAGTTACCTTATATGCAATATAATGTATTAGCACCGGCTAACAATTCAATTTCATTACTCTATTTCATATGACAGTGGGTTTCCAATGCCAAATTATACAATTTACTTTTATCTGGATCATAATTCGTATCCTATACAGGTCCGTACACGGTGTTATTCGGATGCCAATTATTTGGTTTTTCTTTATTAGACAAATTTGGAGATAAAGTTTTATAGCCAAAACTTTTTTTAGAACCCAGCCTTCTCCTGCCTCTTTTCCTCATAACTTCCAGGTTGGTATAACACTCTTCTGGCTTCTCCATTCTGCTCAGTCTGCATTAATTGACAGTTTCTTTTCCTCTATCATCCAATTATAATGTGGTCCAAAATAATTATAATATTCTATAATTTTAGCCTCCATTCTACAATGTTTATTATTATAATGACAGTCTTTATTCAATTCTATCTCCTTTATAAGCATAACCTTATACATTTTCCATACTTTATCTTTTATTTAGTGATTGCGTTCATTATCCCAAAAGATTTTAGTCTTATTCACAATTAGCTCCCAACATCAATATAGAAATTTTGCTGTCCATAATGTTTATTAATATTTATTACTCATATCTTATAGATTTATACAATTTTATATAATTTATTTCTCCTTAAATTTCACCGTATCAATTTATGAAGGAATTTTATCAAAGGCCACTTGAGAAACAAAGCCCATATAGAATATTTCTCCTTTTTTTCTCTCTAATCTTTTTTAATGAATAGTAATATCCCATAAATTATATCAATAGTTGACTTCCCAAGTAATACCAGTTTATTTTCGTCCATTTTAACGCTTTAAGCAATTTTTTTCAATGATTATCTCACATTTGATCCTAATTTTTATATTCTTTTAAATATTCCCTTACATTTATAAATAGGTAATGGGTTTATTTTTACCATTTGTCTGGAATCTTGTTAGTTTTAATATTTTATTTAATAGATTTGTTATGAAGAATATAATTTCTTATCCAAGAGCTTAACTCCATATAGGAATGTCATTCGGATCCCTGTATATAATAACCTTTATTTTATTGAAAGTATCAATTATATCTTAATTCATTTTTTGTTTGTAATTCGTGTTATGTATATTATTCATTCCATCTCTCTACTATATAAGTTTTATTTGTGAGTAAGTTTTTCAATCTTTATTTATTTTTTTTCAATCTGGTATCTGTTATATCATTCACATTTGTATCCCTTTTTGTCACGCAATTTTAAATATTTGATTATCCACATTTCAATTTTTTTTTATTTGGCCACACATTGCTTAATATTTCTTTTAGTTTTAATGCAATAAGGTATAACTTTACTCTGAAGTCCTCCACTTTGAAAATAAAATGTTAGCTGGAGTTAGTATTAAGCACGGATTTAAAGTCTGGTCAGACATTTGGGTCGGACTAGGATAGGTTTGTGGAGAGCTCTTTTCTCATGTTATAGTTAAAAAAACTTAATATTATAGGATATGTTCGAGTTCGATAAAGCATTTCAAACCATAATCTTATTCTAGTGAGGCTCAAGAAAATAATGATTATATCCTGGTCTGGCTTAAGAATATAAATAAATTATAAACCTGAGCATATCCAAGAAATATCTTCTTTTTTTTTACAAAACTTTTGATTTATTTTAAAAAAATTTACAATTCATTTCTATTTTTTTTTAAATTAGCGGATAAAAATATTTTAAATGCAGACAGGCCATGCTAAAATAAATTAAAATTTGGTTGGATTAGAAATAGGGAAATATTTATAGGTCAATGATTTTTTATGGGAATATAGTTTAATCAAGCCTGTAATAATTTTCGTTCCTATCTTTATAGGTATAATTTATTTTAATTGCATTAATCTATATATGATAAATTTTGTATTTATATATGTACTAAATAAACAAAACTATAATAGAGATATCCCAGGATCAAGTCTAGCTATGTTGGAAGCTAATATAACACCTCGAGACACTGGGAATAAAACCATATTAGTTAGTTTTAGTTCCTCAGATTTGAATGATATCGAGGGTTACCTGCATGTCAGCGTTATACAATGAATAATAATTTGGAGTAGGCTTATGAATTAAATGTGCCGAATTTCTTATTTTTTTTTATTATAATTTATCGGATCGAGAGATTATACGAATTATATATAGATTTTGATTTAATTTCAACATCAAAATTACTTATTGAAACATAAATTTAATTAAGTTCCTCGATACCATATAATATGCCTCTTATATAAATCAATATTTTCCTCTCTCAAATGTTGTAAAACACCAAAAAAATGATATTTATATTTATATGTTGTTATCAAAAAAATTTCGAATATATTTACAAATTTAATACCACAAAAAATCATCTTTTAAAAGAATCGTTTTTTAATACAGGTAATATATAATCCAATTTACAATGCAATTATTAATCAATTACTTATTTAATATATTTATTACAATATTTTCACTTATTTTAGCTATTTCTTGAATATAATGACAAATATATTACATTATGTTATCTATAAAAATAATATTTATACATTTATTCATATATTTTGATTTTGATATTGTAATATACAGGGAGCCAAACTTTTACAAATATTTTTTCCTTTTATAGCACCATTATTTTTTATAATAAAACAAAATTATAAATTTGAATAAAATTTTAAGTATAATTTGAAATTTTAAATAATCATGATTTTTGACTGTGATTCCTGGAGTCAGTAGAAACTTGGGGACAGAAAAGTATTTGTGTAATAATTTATTTTGTTCCTTATCTAAGAATGCTCTTCTAAGGGACTTCAGTTGGTTCGATTCATCAAAGATGCTTATTTGATTTTTGTACCACATATTTGCATAAAGGTTAATATTGTTAATTGGCTAAGACAAATAGGATAGAACAGAGCTAAGATGACCTAAATTTTAGGTCCCGTCTCCGACTCGTTGTTTGATTTTTTTGACCACAACCTGGTGATATTTGAGGACATTCTTAGTCGATTTGCATGTATTATTTTTTTTATTATTTACCACAACTTTTTATGCGTGCTTTCTTTTCTTAGATATCTAGCCACTCACAGTAGCATTTTATTTTTTACCCAATCTTTATATTTTGCAAATTTTATCTCTTGTTTAAATATTTATCACATTTATTCTCTATTTCCAGAAGAATTTAAAACCTTGTATAATCTTCTCCCATGAATTCAGCAGGTGAAAACTCAATGCATAATTTGTAGAGTAATGGGAGAAAATCCTGCATAAAAATATTCAACCAAAATAAACCTCAAGGAAAATAGCTGCGGAAAATAACTTATCAAAAATAAAGAATGAATAAAATAAATTTAAGGCTATTAAAAAAGTGGCAGGGTAGAATCGCTGGCCAAATACAAAAACAAAGTGCAGACACTCATTATCAAAAACCAATTTATACTATATTATTATATACGAATATTTTCTTACAACATCTTTTTCACAAGTGAGATATCAACAAACTTTCGATAAATAAAAATAAAAATAATTATAAATAAACAATTAGCCAATATTGGCCACAATAATCTAGGTATAAGCCTTTTAAATGATGGCAGTGAAACGTGAATTAGTTGAGAAAATTGAATTAAGTGAAATTCTCGATTATTATATAATATTATTACGGAAGTTATTAAGCTGACAAGTAAAAATATATAATAATTAATATTTTTTTATACTATATTTACCTTATCTAAGGTAGCCTAGGGATTACGGAAGGTAAAGTAAAAATGTAAACGTCTATAACTTTTCCATTTTTCTGCTAATTGTTATCTCTACATACTATCTTTATAGTCTAATGATTTGGCTACCCAATGATATAATTAATTTGATTTTATAAAATTAAAATAAAATTTTATCACAAAACTAAAACATCTACCATGTAACCCCGGTCTTCCGTGTAAAATAAAATTATAAAAAAAGATTAAAAGAAACTCAAAAAAAGGTAGTTGACATCTCAAACTTGCATCCTAAGGGACCCTTTCTATTCTAGTCATCTCCTCCAGGTTCAGAACATTTTTATCAGCCATACCTTAAAGGTGAATATTTCGATCAGAATAAACCAAATAAGATCAAAAGCCCGGGTGACTATTTCAGAGGAGATATAAGTTTATCCCTACAGCGAACTGGGGACTACATTGGCATAAAAATATGTTAGTAAAATTTAGAAATAATTTTTATTTTATAGCTGGATGATAAGATTTATATTATTATTAACTTTAGTAGTCATAGGACAATTTCAAATTCATGCGGCCCCAGTCTAACCTATTAGCAATGAGATAAGTTTTAAAGTTTAAAAAATTACGTAATTATAGGATTTAACCCCCTTCCCCTCCATAAAATATATAAAATTTTAAAAAATTTCTTAGCAACTTTAAAAATTAACTTGTTCCCCCTATGTAATATACTATATATATCCGATTAATATAATATACTTATTGTTTATACTTTTCCCTTACCATTTTTTATATATATCATCTTCGTGATTATTGAACCCAACATTTTAATGAGATCAGCTTCATGAAAACCATCAACAGGAATAGAAGACCCGTTCTCGAAAGTCATGCTTAGTGTTGTTAATTGGTTGGTTGTGTAGTGCTCAGACCCGGGGTTTGGGTCTAAATTATCGACTAAACCAGCTCTGAGCATGAACCACGAGCACAGACCCGGGGTTTGTGCTCGGGGTTCAGACCCGAGGATTTTTTAATTATTATATAGTCCTGCTCCTACAAAAGCTAGTTAGCTTCGGTTCTCAGCAGGGCATAGAAAATTATAATAAATGTATAAAGAATATATAATTCGGTCATTTGATAATATAGAGAGATTAGAAAAAGATACAAATCTTTTGAATTATTGGGAAAATGTAAAGAATAGTATGCCAGAACTTTATAAGTTAGCTATAACTGTGCTAGCAGTTCCAGCTACGCAGGTATCCGTAGAAAGAGCATTTTCTAGCCTTAAGTTTATACTCTCTGCGCAGAGAACTAAATTAAATCCTGAAATATTAGAAAATATTTTAGTTATCCGTTCTAATTCTCTTTTTAAAAATAAATAATATAAATTTCATTATATTTATGTGTTATTTTATTCCTCATTGTATTTGCGCATGTTTGTGTTTATCTTATTTATATATAAAATAAAAAAAATTGATTTGTCTAATTTATATTTACTAAGTTTAATAAAAATATCTATTCGATTATCATGGTTAAATTAAATAAGAAATTATAAAAAGATTTTTCTCTAATATTAATATATATGGTTTATTATTAAATTTTTTTTAAATCAAATTTATAAGAACCGGAACAAACCGAAAAGAACCGTTATAAATTATAAACCGAACCGATTTAAATTTTTTCAAAAAAAAACCGAAATGGAACAAAACCTTTATAAAATTTTAAACTAAAAACCGTAACGAACCGAACCTCTATACTTAATGGTTCGAAACCCTGTTGAAAAGGGGTTGGCCAAATCGTGATCGATTTAACGAATTTCATTTAAATAATTATATTTATATTTATTCAAATAACACATTACATAAATATTATATTTAGAAATATTCATATAATAATTTTATAAAAAATCGGAAGTATTTATTTTTAGTAATTATGTAAAGAAATATTTTCTTTTATAAAAAAATTTCTCCCCCCCCCCCCCATTATTTTAGCTTAATATGGCTCATAAAAAGTTAGATAAAATTATAACAAGAAAAATGGGGGGGGGGGGGGGGGGAAAAAAGTTCAAAATTTAAAAAAAAAGAGAAGTATAATTATGAACAATCGAAATTAGGGGGGTTGGTAAATTTAAAAAAATAATAATATCAAAGAACAAGAAAACAAGAGAAATTAGGGTGGGGTGGGGGGAGGAAAGTTGGAAAATTTAAAATAATACTTAGCAAAAATTTTTATTCTTTAAATTTTTTATTTATCCTTCATTTTATTTTTTACTTTATCAAAAAATTTTTTCCCATATTTTTTTAAAATAAATAAACAAAAAATTTTTTTTTTGCGATTTTATTTAATTAAAATAAACAATATTTAAATATATTTAGGCAATCGTTTTGTTTACAATACTGAAATTTATTATTAGGAAAAAAGGCAATATTTTTTTGTTTTAAATATTCTAAATTTAATAATTGTAAGCCAAAGCTTATTAAAAACGTTTTAAAAACTTATGACAGCTAGATAATATGATATTAGGCCCTCTGGGCCGCTGGCCAGAAACATTACTTTTTAAAAACTTCCGGCACTAATTTCATAGACCTGCAGAGGTGCCATTTGCACGGCCCGGCCTGGATTTTTTCTCAAATTTTTTTTCGAAAAGGCCCGTCCCGTCTCAGCTTTTTAAAATAAATTTTCAGCCCTGACTCTATTTTAAAAAATATATTTTCAGACCAGGCCCAGATTTTTTTAAAAATATTATACTTATATTAGATTTATATAGCTAATAATGGCGATTTAAAATATTTGGTTTTAAAATATACGGTCCGCCTCGGATTATTTTTAAAATAAATTTTCAGGCCCGGCCTGGGTTAATTTAAAAAAATTAAAATAGGGGCCAGTGTACTCAGGTCGGGCTGAGCCGGACCAGCAGGTCTCTGACTAATTTATTAAGACCAATAATGGGGAATTATAAAATATATGGAATTATAATTAAACGACCCGAGATAAATTTTTTTATCCCGAAGCTAACTAGCTTTTGCAGGAGCAGGACTATATAATAATTAAAAAATCCTCGGGTCTGTGATCGGGGTTCGTGCTCATAGCAAGTATTAGCACAAATTTGGGTCGTATATTTTACGACCAAGCAAATTAACAACACTAGTCATGCTCACACCTAATGACTCTTGAACAGGATTCGCTTCTCAGGGCCTTCCCCTTGTCACCATTAGCGCACCGAATCAGCTAAGTACGTTTACGACCCCAAGCACCCTTGACCTCATAGCAAATGTTATCGCAACATTGACTAATGAAATGAGAACACTATCTTGTTCACACCAGATTGCACGCTTCCAGAAAGGCATCTCTGGCAAGATCCACCATGATTGAAGCCGAAGTATCCCCCTCGAGAGAAAATGAGGAAGAACGCAGAAGCACAACGTCTAGAATCAGAACCCCCATCTCGCCTGTCTCCAAAACTAATCTGACTCAGGAGTAGAAGGTAGGAAAACTGATGCATTTGTGGAAAGGACTCACATCCAATCTGAAGGAGCCAAATGTAAAGGTTACCAAAGTCGTAGCCAGAAGGAGATTCAAACCCAAACTGGACCAACTACGCAT